AAATCGTATAGAAATATTACAGAGATTTCATACCTTGAACAAAGAATAGGTTTAGCAATTCATAAAAAAACAAGCAACGATAGAAGAAGTAAAACACTGGCCAACAACACTACTTTAGAGGATTAGCAAAAAATATATCACTGAGGTTTATGAAAAAGCAAGCAGACAAATTAGCTTTTAAAGAAAAACCCTCACTGAAAACAGTGGGGATGGTCGACTGTATCTTAGGGCCAATAAATACGCACAGAAGTGCTCAAAAATAGTCCGAAAATTTTATTTTACACATTTTTCCCCCTTTTACACTAAATGTAGTCGATCAGCCAAGACATGTTTGGTGTCTGAAGTTTGTTTACACGTATATTTGATGAGAACAGAACAGAATAATCTTCAGTATTACACTCAAAAAGTACCATAATAACACAACAACATCCTCACAGATCCAGATACTACTACTGAAAATGGGGGACGTTCTTCACAGCCCAATTTCTCTCACAAAGCCATGTTATAGAGACAATAAATGCTTATGGAAGCAACAGTTCTGTGAAATAATTCCACAATTTTCTTCTGCGCCTCAGCCAGAGGTTTTAGCACTGGAGCTACGAGGCTACTGCAGCTAGCATGAACTGTTAGCATATCTACACCAATTAGCATGGTGCTAAAACCGTGCAGAGTTGTTCAGTTCATCTCTATTAGACTCACTTATCTGCTTTCTGACACTTATCTTTAAATATGGACTACAATATGGACAAAATCCAAGCTTCAAGAGCTGCTGCTACTGTTTTTAGCTGTGCTAGCACATTGGTCCACTGTTAGCAACATTAGCCTTGTCGCTCCAGCGCTAAAACGAAAGGAGCAAACTTCAAACACTAAACATGTCTTCACAAACAGGCTAAGATAAAAGATATCAGTTAAAAGTTCTAATCACTAATCAATTCTTTACATGTACAAGTATATTTGATGAGAACGGAACAGAATAATCTTCAGTTTTCCACTCAAAAGGTAACGTAATATAACGTAACACAACAACGTCCTCACAGATCCAGATACTACTACTGAAAACGGGGGACGTTCTTCATAGCCTGATTTATCTCACACAGCACTGTAATAGAGACAATACATGCTTATGGAAGCAACAGTTCTGTGAAATAATTCCACAATTTTCTTCTGCGCCTCAGCCAGAAGTCTGCATCTTTAGTTTTAGCGCTGGAGCAAAGAAGCTAGCTAGCTAACAACTGAATGAAAGCTTATGGACATTAGCATTAGCCTTGTGATATGCTTGCCTCAAAGCACATCCCAAATCTCTAATAAACCTAATTTATAACTTAATTTTTGTGGTTTCTGGCACTGTGGACATGTTTACACCATGCGTTTCTGGTGATCGGATCACGTTCGGGTTTCATTTGACCGCATGAAAAGGTGAGTGGATCACGACTGCTGATAAACATCATAGAAACCATTAAAAGCTTCTGCTGGGCTTCATGGTGTCCAATAGTCTCGAATGGGTTGATATCACAGTGGTAAATTATTCTAAGGGTTTAACTGGTGTTCTGGGACTGACTGCAGATGCGTTTGATGTAGGGCTGGAAGATTAATCGTTTTTATTTTGAAATCGCAATTTGAAAGGGTGCATTTCAAATCACATGAGCTGCAATTTTTACTACTGAATACATCATCAACAAGTTTTAAATGGGAAAAAATTTTACGTAATAACATGGTGGCTGCGAACTGCCTGTAGATGAGTTGGACCAATCAGAGGCAACAAAACACCCATGTTCTGTATACGCGACATCACAACCATCACAACTAACAGGTAGTCTGACGCACTCTTCAAGCTTCATACCATAAAAAACAGATATTCTGGTCTTCTTGGCCAAAAAACAGGCCTGGAAATGAATTTATAGAAAATAACTCACAGTACTGATCAGAAGAATTGCAATTAGATGTTTTCCCCAAATCGTTCAGCCCTAATTTGATGGCTTCCTAATGGAATCTAAAGGATGTTCTACACAAAACTAGTGGTCTCTAATGTTAGCCATTATTCTAAAAAGCAAAACCATCAGGTTTTAATCCTAATAGTTCGAATGGTCTTTTTTCAGCGGGGCAGATTCTGAGGTGGTGGATCTTTACCACATTTAACACAAGTGTAAACGGAGTATGTTTACATTACCTGTATACAATTAGGTGAGCGGAAGATTTTGAATAAATATACCCTTAATCAATAAGTAAATAGATTAGACATGTAATAATATATATAATAATCAAACAGTTAAGCATTGACTAAAAGGGAATATTAATTTCTCACTAAGATGTGAAAATATAGGAAGTATTAGGCCATAGTCTGCCCGTTCAGGGGCTTTTCAAAAGCAGGTGAACGTATGATCTTATTTACAGGTGCATAAAAGTGAACTCCATATGAGCCCATATGATATATGGTCCAGTAGGGCCTTGTAGGATCAGATAAACTGGCACGAAGTGGCTGAAACCAGGTTTAAACAAAAAGAAGTGTAGTATGCAGTGAACTTAAGGGAAGCCAAGTGATGGGGACTTTTGAATAGAGACTAATGGAACATCAAGTTTGAGGTGAATCATAAAACCCCAGATAAGGGTATATAAGGTGTTGTTTGGACACTGTATCACACAGTTGGGTCTCTCGAGACCTGCATGCCATCTGGAGCCTTTTTCTCGTTCCACAAACTCGGCATCTGAAGTCTTTTTTCTTTTGAGAACTTAGAACAGTTATTAGTCTAAGTGTTTAGCCAGTATTAAGAGATTTCTTTTTTAATAATATTATGTTGGAGGCCTGGGGTCGAAGGGGACAGCCTTTGGTCCCGCAGATGAGCGGATAAACAATGAAAGATTTAGGATATGGGAGGCTGAAAGTCCCCAAACCAGGAGCCTTCATGCACTCCAGGATGATGACAGTGTCCAGGCTGAGCCTATCCTTTCTATAGTAACGGAGAAAAGAGTAAACAACAGTAAAACGGAAACGGCGTATCTGCTCACGTGCTTTTCACACAGGAAAAATACAATTCCAGAGGGAAAAAAGTCTTAAGATTGTCTCAGAGAAATAAAGCAGATCTCGAGGTTATATTAATGAAGGATCACTGCTTTCTGAACTGTTTCTCCTAAACTCCCCTCAGGAGAAAAGAGGAGATTAACATCAGCGTTTCACTGTGAGACGTTCTGGTGATGAAAGAGAAAAGCGCGAGTTCTCCTTCCGCACTGACAGACTGCCGAGAGTGTTCTGTGATCTAGAACCGAGCTCTATAAGAGAACAATGAGATCTCACACTTTTCTTAAGGAGATATTACTCAGCTGAGACTGGGCTGAGACGAGCCAGACACTAAAGAGTTGAGAAATTGTGAGTTTTATTCCTCAGGAGCCGAATTTCAGGAACGGGAGAAAATGGCTTAAAACTCACTTCGATTTCACACTGGACTTGGAGCCTGAGATCGAGGGAAGGTCTCATTTAGAGTATTTCTTTCCTCTGGGACTGGTTCTCATCTGGTCAAACTAAACGGACACCAAACACATGTTCAGGTGTAAACAGACCGGCAGTGTCAGAAACCACATAATCAAGTGTAGTAAGGATTTGAAATGACACTGTTATATAAACATGGACTGAAGTGAACAGCAGCAGCAGCAATATTAAACCTGCATTTTGTCCATTTTTATGAATAACAGCGACATACAGCATCACGAACCACGTCTTGGATCACTGACTTATAGTATTAATATTTTATTACTTTACCTGTTTGATATAAATGAGATTTCCTGCCAGACTACTGCTTTAATCTGGACAGCGACGTGTTCCTGAATACACACTGCTTTGGCAGGGACTATGGCCGGATTCCAGCTCAGCTGATAACTGATTTCCACACAGACAGCCTGACCCAAATAACATCAGCGGTGACCTCAGGTGACCTTTCCTAAACGAATCAGAGTGGTCAAAACTTATAAAACAGATAGATGGATGGACGTTTGGATGGATGGATGGACAGAGGCTCAACTTCACGTGTTCCCTGAGTATTTACACGCCAATTTATTATTATTTTTTTATAGTACTTACGCTTCTTTATGCTGCTTTACTTTAAGTAAGCATCCTGGCTGCCTTAATGTTTACATTTGATTCAACTTCAAAATATAACATCAATTATTCTTCCTATTAGAACTTCAGTGAACTCAAATTTTTAAAACAGCCCCTTTAAACACTTATGAAATCCTTTTTTACGTTGTATAAGTATTAAAAATTCCAAGGGCAAAAGGGAAAAGTAAGAGTATTCGTCTACGAACATGCTCACCAAACCCGATCCCAGTGCTCAACACACGCACACACACTGACACACGCAGTATAAACCAAAATAAAAGTCCTGATAATCACCATAAGGGAGCTATTGCTACAACGGAATGGTATCAGTATAAGAAACTAACTCTACGGATCTTAGACAGCAATAATAATCAATAACATCCTTCTGTCTGCTAACATGAGTGTTTCAGTGAATTTAAAATATTACACAGCACTGATTATTAGTTTCTATACCTTCATTTTTTTAAAAAAAAGGGACTGAGAATCGGTTCCTTGTCACTAGTCATAAATTATTTAAATAAATTTCGTAAATTACGACATTTGCCTCTGCGTTAGCTACAACATTAATAACACTATCACTTCCCGAGGAGAGACGGACGACAAGAGGCTAGAAAATAAACACAGATTTCACTTCATCCTATCTTTAAAGGGTAATTTATCAACATTTCTGCATCATTAAAGGTGTAAACAGTGAATAAAGTTGTTCAGAGTGGTTTGGTGTGAAACGCTCCGTTCTATAGAGCCAGAATTCACAGTGGTGGTGATAGGAACCAGACGTCCACCTCTAGAAGCTCCCTCACAGAAAGTTACTACATGAAATGTTTACAAATACACGGCTGCGTGTAGGTTCACTGGTAGTTAAATAAAATGTCTATATTTGTGTTGTAGTCATGGCGACCCCTGGTTCCTATCACCACCACCGTAAAGACATCTGAACCATTTCACACCAAACCACTCTGAATCACATCTCAAACACTGAATTATGCAGGAATTTTGAAAACTTTGTGGACTTCCCCTTTAAATGCCAAGAGTGTTTCTACATGAAAGCTTAATCTAAAATGGCTCCCTAATCCCTACAAAGTGCACAAAGTTGTTAAGGTTATTAAAACTATGGCTTCTGCATAAAAATAATACACCATATATCCACTAGGAGGCAGTGCAATCCCAAATGGCTCACTGTTAGACATGTAAATCACTATGTGGGTGCAGAAAGCCTAGTGCACTAAATAGTGTGTAGGGAGCCATTTGAGATTTGGACGAAATCTCAGGATTAGAAACGGTAAACAAGGAACGACAAAAACAATATTTTCCACAGAACGTAAAATAACTGGTTAATAATATTTTTATTTTGTTCTAGTTAACATTAATAAATTAATCTAACGGTGACTGAATGGGCTTTATTGCTATTTTAATATATGCATATTATGTTTATTATATTATGCCTATATCAGAGTAATGTATTAAGCGTACATTTATTTTGTTGTCACTAGTTAGTGTAACTAACCAACCTAAATCTATAATAGTTTGTTTCCAATCTCTGGCTCAGTGAAAATGAATCAGAGCAAAAATAATGACGTTATTAACCAGTTAATAAAAAGCATTTTCAAGTTATTTTGTCCCCTAAAGAGAGGAGTGGTGGTGCTATGGTACATTAATCCGGACTCAAGAATAAATAAAAATATAATTAATTTAAAAAGTACAAAAAATGAGTTTTCTCAATTTTGTTCACGTTTTCTATTATGTTCTGTGAAAAATGCTTGTTGTCATTTTTTATTTTTCGTTTTTGTTCTCCGTTTCTAGTCCCTGCTTTGATCCCCATCACTTTAAACCCCTTCACTCTGGTTCTGACCCCGCCCCCTACCACCGCAAGCCCCTCCTCAGGGCCGAATCCGGCATCCTCATTGGTCGCTGGAGCGCTCGAGGCTGTCGATGACTCTGCTGAGGCGGATGTTGAGCAGGCGGATCTGGGTGTCCAGGTGTTCAATCTTCTCCTCCAGCGTGTTGGGGCTGCTGCCTTTGCGCCAGTACGCCCCCACCGGGCCAGTCATGAAATACACCGCCATGATGAAGCACAGTGGCAGCACCGCCTTCTCCGGGTCGCCCTCGAACTTCCGCAGGATGTACAGACATGACAGTGCGAACAGGGAGACGCGAGCCAGCCAGAAGAAGCGGCCGAACACGGCGTGCAGCAGGTAGAAAAATCCACCCAGAAACAAAGACAGGAACCAGTATGCAACCAGCACGGCAGCCACCAGCAGGAGAGCACGGGCCGGGGAACTGGACACGGACGCCGGACTGAAGTAGTGGGTCAGATTAGAGGCTGAGAGAGAAAGAGAGAAAAAGAGAGATTTAAAGCATTACAGTTGGGTCAGCTAAACATGTTTAAAGGAATAGTTTGGTGACAAATGAAATGTACCCAACTTTTCCACTTCCATCTGTCTATTTTAAATGAGCTCGGGCCCAGAGAAGGTGGAAGCATTTCTGGATCCTGTTTATATATGATTTCTACTTTATGTTTCAGAGTTTTAACTTTGTGGTTGCAACGTTTTCACAGACAGTGGTTTTCAGAAGTGTTTCTGAGCCCATGCAGTGATTTCCACTACAGAATCATGTCTGTTTTTAATGCAGTGCTGTCTGAGGGCCCAAAGATCACGGCCAGCAAATACTGGTTTTTGGCCTCGTCCCTTACATACAGAGATTTCTCCAGATTCTCTGAATCTTTTAATGATATTTTGTACCGTAGATGATAAAAAACAAAAGTTCTTTGCTGTTTTACGTTGAGAACCGTTATTCTTGAATTGTTGCACTATTTGATGGTGCAGTCTTTCACAGAGTGGTGAACCCCTCCTCATCTTTACTTCTGAAAGACTCCGCCTCTCTGAGATGCTCTTTATACCCAATCATGTTATTGACCAGCTGCCAATCAATCACCAGGTGTTTTTTTCAGCATTACACAACTTTACCAGCCTTTTGTTCCCCCGTCCCAACTTTTTTGGAACGTGTTGTTGGCATCGAATTCAAAATGGGCAAATATTAAAAAAAATAATAATAATAAAATTTTTCACTTTCAACATTTGATATGTTGTCTTTGTGCTATTTTCAATGGAAATGGAGTTGTACCTCTGTTGCGCTCTGTAGTAGACAAAAATGTTACATTTTTCCTCTGATTGCGTTTTGGGTGGTGGACCCCTGTGCCCCAAAATCTCTCTAATCGCTGCCCTCCCAGCCATCGGAGCTCTGTCCAGCATTCTACAGGTGCTGTCCTGCTGATTCATTACCACCGTTGCAACATCACTCGCAGGCAGAGCCAGAGACAAGCACGCAGCTGGCACCCTGCATCCTCAAAAAGGTGGTTCTTCAAGGGTTCTTTAGGAAGGAAAATGGTTCTTTGCATCATGAAAGAGTTCTTCAAAATTTGCTGTAGATGGTTTTTGGTGTGTGATGTTAAACTTAATAGAAGAACGCTTTTTGGGTGCTACATAGAACCCTCTGCAAAAAAAGGTTTTATATAGAACCATATACAGCACACTTTCCATAAATCTGAAGAACACTTTCATGAAGCAACGAACCCTTTAGTCATGCAAAGGGTTCTTTGAGGATTCATGGCTCTATAGAGAACAATTTTCTTTACTAAAGAACCCTCGAAGAACCATCCTTTTTTAAGAGTGCATAATTCCCAACTCGAGTGAGTGAGTGAGTGAGTGAGTGAGTGAGTGAGCGAGCGAGTATACTCCAAGGCTGTCTCTTGTTCTAACTTCCTGTTTTGACTATAATAGACAATTAAGCCAAGGACGATGAGAGCACAGAGGAACGTGCGGACCCACGGTGCCCACCCCTCTCCTGCACTCAAGAACCTCTTTCGTCAGCCTGCCCCTCCCTCCCCGCCCCTCTCTCACCCAGTCCGAGCCAGCTTCCTACCTTTGCTCCCTCGTCCTCTTTCACTTTCTTTTGTTTAATTTGTTGCTGGCTATAAATAAACGCACTCCACGGGGTTTTCAGTGGCCTCAGTCTTGGTTGTGGTTCCTCACAGTGCCAACCTTCACATTAACACCCCACAAATGTTACTGGATCCTCTGAATTATGAGGCCATTAAGGAGCTGAAATATGAACAACACTATATCCACTCTACATCCACGCTCAGACTGCGCACTGAAATGACGGCGCAGGAAAGTTAGTCGCTGTTAAGCTTCAATGCTGAGCCTGTTTACACCCGGTCACTTCTGGATGAGGCCAATCCACAGAGTGTAAACGAACTCAAAACGCTTTTAAAACAGATATAAATCTGATCACTCAAACCACTTCAGGAGGTGGACTGAGACGCATTTGAGCCACATTATAGCAGCATAAACACATCCGTCTCTCCAAGACACATTCGACAACCAAAAACCCTCCCAGTACAGCCCAAACTCCACCCAATACAACCGCAATCCCCCCGCTATAACCGAAACCCCTCCCAGTATAACCAAAACACCTCCTGGTACAACCGAAACTCCACCCGCCATAACCGAAACCCCTCCCAGTACAACAGAAACCCCTCCTGGTACAACCGAAACCCCTCCCGCTACAACCGTAACTCCACCCGCTATAACCAAAACCCAGTACAACCGAAATCCCTCCCAGTACAACCGAAACCCCTCCTAGTACAACCGTAACTCCACCCACTATAACCGAAACCCCTCTCAGTACAACCAAAACCCCTCCTGGTACAACCGTAACTCCACCCGCTATAACCGTAACTCCACCCGCTATAACCGTAACTCCACTTGCTATAACCAAAACCCAGTACAACCAAAACCCCTCCCAGTACAACCGAAACCCCTCCCCGTACCATCGAAAGCCCTCCCAGTACCACCGAAACTCCTCCCGGCACAACCGAAACTCATCTGAGTACAACTGAAACCCCTCACAGGACCACCAAAACCCCTCCTAGTACAACTGCAACTCCTCCCACTACAACCAAAACTCCTCGTAATACAACAGCAACTCCTCCCACTATAACTGAAGCCCCCCCCAGTACAACCAAAACCCCTCCCACTATAACCAAAACTCCTCTGAGTACAACAAAAACTCCTCCCAGTACAACCAAAACTCCTCCCACTATAACTGAAGCTCCTCCTCTGTGAGAGAGATAATCATGGATGACGCTCCTGAACATGAACAGACACTACTGAGCAAAACTAACTGCAGACAAAGAGGCTAAATGGATGAACAGTCGGTAACTGGCTGCCACATAACTAGTGAATTTGCATATTCCGTCCCACAGCAATCAGATTTCAGTCCGACTCACCCGAAACACATTTGACCATCAAGTGAAAATGGGTGTGGCTAAAATCTTATCAGGATACAATCCAGGTACAAGAGACATGAAGTGACCAGGTGTAAACAGGGTCAGTGTTATATACCAACACCAGCTGCTCAGACTGCAGCCTAAAACTGACAAAGCAACTCAACTACCACATTTGAGGAAGCCTGCTGGTCTGTGTGGGGAAGTTTGGTGAGGTCAGTCTTTAACCTGTTAAACTCCTTGAGACCACCGGTGGTTCCCAAACGCACTTCCTCATATTCTTCATAACTTTCATATTTCATAAGCTACATTCTAAAGGTGGGGGTCGTATGAGAGCTGTAACTGTCTTCTTTCCAGTCAAATAGATGGGTGATGTAATTTTAAACCCTTATAATAAAAGAAGCTGAACTCACAATTTTTTGTTCTACTGAAAGTCGACCCATTTTTCCACAAATCTGGGCTATAAACTATAAACAGATGGCGTCTCTTCAGTGATCTGCTCTGTAAACATTACTTTTATAAAATAATACAAAGAGCGTCTAAGATTTTTGGCTTTCAGCAGTAAATTGTAAGCATATAGCAATATGTGTATCATAAAACACATGTTCTGTTAATTTGAGGGGAACTTTTAAAAAAATAAAAATAAAATAAAAATTTACATTTATTTCATGCAGTTGCTGAATAATTTGCCTCACGATTTGGTCAAATTCAGATGGAAAAACCAAAATATACCCTGGAGAATAAGAGGTGTGCAACAACATTCATATCTTAACTTTTTAACAGCCTCATAAATCAGAGCATCCAGTGGAAAAATGTACACAAGTCAAAACGTCGTATCATGTTTGGAACCTTTTTTGTTGGCGACAAGACTTCAGAGGTCTGTTAGCTTATAGTGCTGCTATATATATGAGACCCAACATGCAGATTTGATGTTTTCATTGTAGACAAATGTAGTCAATTAGTTGAAGATCTGAAGGTTGTAGGGCTGAACGATTTGGGGAAAATATCTAATCGTGCTTTTTCTGAATAATATTTCCACTGCAATTTAAATTGCGAATATTATCTATAAGGTATCAAGTTAAGGCCTGTTTTTTTGGCCAATAAGTTCAGAATATTAATTTTTTCTGGCTTTAGACTTGAACCCTGAATGTAGTGTGCAGGTTGTGGTTGTGATGTCACAACACACAGCGGTTTGGCTGCCTCCGATTGGTCTAACTCATCTACAGGCAGTTCACAGGCTCTGTTTTATTACATTTCCCCACTTAAAACTTAAGACAACATTTTTGATAATGTAGCCTATCATAAAAAAAAATAGCAGCTCTTGCAATTTAAAAAATTGCGCTCTCAAATTGCGATTTCGATATAAAACCGATAATCTTTCAGCCCTTTAGGGCTGCTTTTTAGTTTTTGCACAGGAGCTACAATGCAATGTACACAAGTATGATGCACAGCTGTAAACGTAGCTATCAACCTATGTTATTTATGTAGCTAACAACTAATGGAGCTAACACATAATGGAAGCTAATGTATATCAGTTAGCATGGTGCTACCTGCATGCCTAAAGGTGAGTTTTTGACTAAACCATGTCGCTGTTGTCGGAACAAAACCTTGTATCTCCAAAATGGTAACTTTACAGGAGAAGGAAAAAACCTACTCTACTTTTAATGTAAGTCAATGGAACCAGAATTTGTTCCAAGTCGTTTTTGGGCCGTTTCTTTGGCCCATTCATCATGAAATTTACACACAATGTAAAGAACAACAGGCATTTTCAAATTATGTCAAAAACTGAAAAACAGAAAAAATGGAGATACAAGGTCACATCTTACAGTCAATCCCCATAATGTCCAGGAGATCCGTCCAGATCTTCCATATCGTGTCCAGGAACGAGTCGACTCCATGGACAAACCTCTCAGTGGTCTTGGAGAAGAACTGAAAGGAGAAACAAATTTCAAGACTATTAATGATCCTGTATGAGCTCCAGTACCAGCGTGTAGCGAGTATGCTGATGTAAAAAAGTACAAAATCTAAAATAATAAGTTTTCTTTGGGGACTATTTTGCCTCAAAACACCCTGCATGTATCCCTCCACCATGAATGGATTAAAATAAATGGATTAACCAGACATTTTAGGCCAAAACCTTGTCACCAAACTATCATAAAACAGTGTCTCAGTCATCAGGCAGTGAATTCAGAACCATTTCATGTAGGAACTTTCTGTGAGGGAGCTTTTAGAGGTGGACGTCTGGTTCCTATCACCACCACTGTGAACAGTTCTGACTCGGTAAGTTTCTCTAGAATGAAGCGTTTCACACCAAACCGCTCTGAACGACCCTGTTTACATCTTACCCATTTAATTATGTGTAAATTTTGAAAAATCGGTGGAGTTCCCCTTTAATACCCCTAAAACAGCTCCCCCACCTTCTACAGTATAATACCCCCACCTTATAAACTGCCCTAATACTGTCCTAAACCCAGATTTCCTTCATACTCGCTTTCCTCAGTACAACACACACACAGTTGTGTGCAAAAGTTTGGGCGCCCCTGGTCAAATTCCTTATGTTGCTGATTTTCTAAGTGTAAATAAGTGAACATGTCCTCTAAAGAGAACACACTTCTGCACATTCAAATGCACGATTCCTATTTATTCGTTTAAAAATAAATATAAATATAAATTATACCCTGTGCTAAAGTTACAGCACACTTTATACATATATGTTAAACTCAGCGAATAAGTAGATACTGTGCAATAAAATGTGCAGAAAATGCCACACTGCTTCCTGCGGAGGACGTGTTAACTTATTTTCACACATTAAATCAACAGCACATGTCGTTTGACCACTGGCGCCCAAATATTTGCAGACAACTGTTCACCAGACGACTCCTGCAGTATTACAGTCTTCTACAATACAATATGGGTATAAAACTGCACCTTATCAAACTCCTTCATGCTGTCACTGCCAAGCACAACAGCACCCGTATCCTTAGGAAGAGCCCACGTGCCCCCAACACATGACTTACCCCACCCCAGGATAAAATGCCCCTTCTCCCTATATATAAGCCAATTATAATATGCCAACCTTATGAAATATAATGCCCCACTGCCTATATATAACGCCAATAACACCCCACCTTACATACAGTGCTTATGAAATACCCCCTCATAGCCCCCTCCACAGAATATAATGCCCCACTCCCTATATATAACTCCAATAACACCCCACCTTACATACAGTGCTTATGAAATACCCCCTCATAGCCCCCTCCACAGAATATAATGCCCCACTCCCTATATATAACCCCAGTAACACCCCACCTTACATACAGTGCTTATGAAATACCTCCTCATAGCCCCACAGAATATAATGCCCCACTCCCTATATATAACCCCAATAACACCCCACCTTACATACAGTGCTTATGAAATACCCCCTCATAGCCCCCTCCACAGAATATAATGCCCCACTCCCTATATATAACCCCAATAACACCCCACCTTACATACAGTGCTTATGAAATACCCCCTCATAACCCCACAGAATATAATGCCCCACTCTCTATATATAACCCCAATAACACTCCCACATCACATACAGTGCTTATATAATACCCCCATAGCCCCCTTCCCAGAATGCAATGCCCCACTCCCTATATATAACCCCAATAACACCCCACCTTACATACAGTGCTTATGAAATACCCCCTCATAGCCCCCTCCACAGAATATAATGCCCCACTCCCTATATATAACCCCAATAACACCCCACCTACATACAGTGCTTATGAAATACCCCCTCATAACCCCACAGAATATAATGCCCCACTCTCTATATATAACCCCAATAACACTCCCACATCACATACAGTGCTTATATAATACCCCCATAGCCCCCTTCCCAGAATGCAATGCCCCACTCCCTATATATAACCCCAATAACACCCCACCTTATGAACAGTCCTTCCGAAATACCCCCTCAAAGCCCCCTCCACAGAATATAATGCCCCACTCCCTATATATAACCCCAATAACACCCCCACCTTATGTACCCCCTCCCCAGAATATAAGGACCTCTCTCCCCATATATACGCCAATTATACCAACCCCACCTTACAAAACACCCCCATAGCCCCCTCTTCCTATATTGAGCCTAATTATAACACCACCACCTGACCCACCACTTTATGAATTGCCCACATGCCCCCCCCCCTTCCACCCCACTCTACAAACTGCCCCATCGCCCCCTCTACCCCCCATCCTTATGCAAAGTCCTCATGCTGCCCCCCCCCACCTTGTGTAGTCCTCATCACCCCCCCACCTTATGAACAGTCCTCGTGCTGCCCCCCCCAACCTTGTATACAGTCCAGTCCTCGTGCTGCCCCCCCACCACCTTATGAACCAGTCCTCGTGCTGCCCCCCCCAGTCCTCGCCCCCCCACCTTGTGCACGGTCCTCATGCTGTCCTCTCCGAAGGCGCTGCTGAGTGTTTGGTACACGCCGCTGGCCGCCCTCCGCAGGCTGTTCCCGCTGTTCCCGCTGTTCTCCCTGCGGCTCCTCCCTCCCTCCGTCAGCAGCAGAGCGCTCAGCAGCAGCAGCGTCACCGGCACCAGCCTCATCTCTGATCAGATCAATCGATTAATCAGGATTTTGCAGATCAAACCGATCAATTACTCCGCCAATGGATCCTGAGCGTGGACAAGCGTCACCCTGCCGGAACCGGAGAGAGAAGGTGCTTCCGCAAGCGGCAAGAAACTCACTACTGCCACCCGGAGGCCGGATGAGGGAACAACCGCTGCTCCAATTTCAGCACCAATGACGATTTACCCCCTGCATCGACCCCCTCACTGCTTTATTTACCCCATCACTGCTTCATTGACCCCTCACTGCTTTATTTACCCCCTCACTGCTTTATTTACCCCTCACTGCTTTATTGACCCCTCACTGCTTTATTGACCCTATCACTGCTTTATTGACCCCTTCACTGCTTTATTTACCCCCTCACTGCTTTATTGACCCCTCACTGCTTTATTGACCCTATCACTGCTTTATTTACCCCTCACTGCTTTATTGACCCTATCATTGCTTTATTTACCTTCTGACTGCTTTATTTATCATTTTACTGCTTTATTTACCTTCTCACTGCTTTATTTACCCCAACTGCTTTATTTACCCCTCGCTATTTCATTGACCCCTCACTGCTTTATTGACCCCCTCACTGCTTAATTTATCCCTCACTGCTTTATTTACCTTCTCACTGCTTCACTGACTCTCTCACTGCTTTTCTTACCTTCTCACTGCTTTATTTACCTTCTCAATGCTTTATTTACCCCATCACTGATTATCTACACACTCACTGCTTTTTTAACCTTCTCACTGCTTTATTGACCCCTCACTGCTTTATTTACCCCATCACTGCTTCACTGACTCTCTCACTGCTTTTCTTACCTTCTCACTACTTTATTTACCCCTCACTGCTTTATTTACTCAATCACTGCTTTATTTTCCTTCTCCCTGCTTTGTTAACCCTCCTTCTGCTTTATTGACCCCTCACTTCTTTATTTACCCTCTCATTGCTTTATTTACCCCCTGGGTAAAACTTGTATCTCAATTTTTTGTCATTTTTAATTTTTCTCTGTGATTTGAGCACAGCAGCTGCCTTTTTCATTTAGTACCATTAACATACCAAAAAAGTAATAAACCAATAAAAATGCTCCAAAATCGCTGTCAATAAAACCTCTTTTCGTTTACCTACATTGAAGGTAAAGACCGTTTTTGCCCTCTGCTGTAAACGTTACTGTTTCGGAGATACCTGTTTTCCTTTGGACAGCGTAAGCGTTTCATTTCACATTATCCTGTGTATGGCTGTGTGTGTGACCAGCACAACGTGATTTAATTCGATTAAATAAATAATAATAAAAAAAAAACAAAAACAAAAAAAAAACACAAGATGCTCCGTCTTGTCCGAGGGGGCAGTCATGGGCTGGAGGTTGGGGAACAAGCCTTGTGGCCGGAAGGTCGCCGGTTCGATCCCCTTGGCCAACAGTACGTGACTGAAGTGCTCTTGAGCAAGGCACCTAACCCCTAACTGCTCCCCGGGTGCCGTGGATAGGGCTGCCCACCACTCTGGGCAAGTGTGCTCACTGCCCCCTAGTGTGTGTGTTCACTAGTGTGTATGTGCACGGATGGGTTAAATGCAGAGGTCTAATTCCTCAGTTGGCTAATAGATCTGTTCTAACAAAAATATTAGGACACGGGCCCTTTAATGGTCGGCCCCGCTGTAGTTTCTCCATCTCGCCAGCAGATGGCGGCTGAGTGAGCGCAGAGCTGCAGAAGCCGCAGAAGGAGGAGATCTGCTCGGCTGGTTTGTTTACAGGTCGGAGTTTGGAGCCGAGCCGCTCCGGACTGCATTCAAGCCCCGCTCCGCGGCTCGGACACTCGCTTCGGACACTTCAGCAGCTCTTTGACCAGCATGGGCGCCTCCTGTGGCTGTCAGTGTTGTGTTTCGGCGCTCCTGGCCGCGTGTTTGTGGCTGAGCGGGGCTGCGTGGGCTGAGCAGGTCGCGCTGGTGGAGGTGTTTGTGCAGCAGGACTCGGTCCGGATCCTGCAGGGGCAGCTTCTTCAGGACAGCCTGGACACAAACCCCGCACAAGCCCACCACAAGAAAGACCCCAAAGAGCCTGACCTGCAGGGGGACCTCAGACTGGTGAGTGTTCCAGTCCACACATTACACACATCCTGCCAGCCCTGACCTCCTGTATGAGTCCTGTTGAGTGTATGTGAGAAACATTATTAGTTTAAAAGGGGAACTCCACCGATTTTCCAAAAAATTCTACATAATTAAATAGTTAAGATGTAAACAGAGTCATTCAGAGTGGTTTGGTGTGAAACGCTCTGTTCTAGATAAACGTACAGAGTCAGAACTGTTCACAGTGGTGCTGATAGGAACCAGACGTCCACCTCTAAAAGCTCCCTCACAGAAAGTTCCTACATGAAATGGTTATGAATTCACTGCCTGATGACTGAGACACTGTTTTATGATAGTTTTGAGAAGATTTTGAGCTTAAAATACATTCATGGTGGAGGGATACAGGTTGTTGTGAGGCAAAGTAGTCCCCAAAGAAATTTTCCACTGTTTTCCCATCATTGATATTCCGTCTCAAGGATTGAATTATTCAGAAATAGTGTGACACCTTACTGCTGTAATGTTAAATGTTACAGCCATGTTAATGGTTACAGTAAGCCTAACTCTAACTTATATCAACCTTTAAAGGGGAATTATACCCAAAGTTTTCAAAATTCCTCCATAACTCAGTGTGTGAGATGTAAACAGAGAGATTCAGAGTGGTTTGGTGTGAAATGGTTCAGATGTCTTTACAGTGGTGGTGATAGGAACCAGGGGTCGCCATGACTACAACACAGATACAGACATTTTATTTACTATCCAGAACCACCAGTGAACCTACACGAGTCTTCTGAGTTTATATGGAATGTTGATGATGGAAAATAATGGAAAATCTGGAATAATAAGTTTTCTTTGGGGACTATTTTGCCTCACAGCGCCCTGCATGTATCCCTCCACCATGAATGGAGTTTAAGTTCTCAAAACTATCATAAAACAGTGTCTCAGTCATCAGGCAGTGAATTCAGAACCATTTACTGTAGGAACTTTCTGTGAGGGAGCTTTTAGAGGTGGACGTCTGGTTCCTATCACCACCACTGTGAACAGTTCTGACTCTGTAAGTCTCTCTAGAACAGAGCGTTTCACACCAAACCACTCTGAATGACTCTACATCTTAAGTATTTAATTATGCTGACATTTTTGAAAAATCGGTGGAGTTCCCCTTTAACATGGAGTAACTGCTGTAGATGAAAGCCTGTGAACTTTCTGTTCAGATCCGTGATGAAGATGAAGGGAATGAAGTGATCAGTAGTGAAGATGATGATGATGACGGTGATGCTGCTGAAGAAAAGAAGAAGAACCCGTGGATAGGAGTGGTGCCTGTCGAGATGGAGGAAAGCAGCACCGTTTCTAACGGCAACCAGGAATCTTTCGCCACTGCTGTTGTCAACAAGGTGAGCGAAGATTAGACATGGGAGTTAAACGTGATGGAAGCTATGATGTCTAAAAACTAATTGATGTGTTTTATTTCTCCGCAGATGAAGAGAGCGCTTGTTTTGGGCGCGTCTGCCCTCATCATCCTCGTCCTCAACCAGAATACAGTCCGAGAGGTACTGCGAGAATCTGAACCCTGAATTAATACACCTGTTATAAACCACAGAGCCCATTTTAGAGGGGAATTCCACCAGTTTTCAAAATGTCTTCATAAATCTGCATAAAACAGTCGTTCAGAGTGGTTTGGTGTGAAACGCTCTGTTCTAGAGAAACTTACCGAGTCAGAACTGTTCACAGTGGTGGTGATAGGAACCAGACGTCCACCTCTAAAAGCTCCCTCACAGAAAGTTCCTACATGAAATGGTTATGAATTCACTGCCTGATGTCTCAGACACTGTTTTATGATAGTTTTGAGAAGATTATGGCCTTAAACTCCATTCATGGTGGAGGGATACAGAATATGCAGGGTGCTGTGAGGCAAAATAGTCCCCAAAGAAAACTTATTATTTCAGATTTTCCACTATTTTCCATCATCAACATTCCATATAAACTCAGAAGACTCGTGTAGGTTCACTGGTGGTTCTGGATAGTAAATAAAATGTCTATATCTGTGTTGTAGTCATGGCGACCCCTGGTTCCTATCACCACCACTGTAAAGACATCTGAACCATTTCACACCAGACCACTCTGAATCACTCTGTTTACATCTCACGCACTGAATTATGGACGAATTTTGAAAAAATTGGTGGAATTCCCCTTTAAAGATGTAATATTACAGCAGTAAGGTGTGCTTTTGCAACAACTTAAAAATGAAAACTTTAGGTATCAGTGGAATTAATAATCCTAAATTATGGTAAAATCACTGTAATACACGGCCTGTAATGCTGTATTAGAGAATGAAGTAAAGGCTCAGTCCCATTTCTTATTTTTACCCCTACCCCTTGTTTTTGAGTGTTGCCCCTTTGGAACTGAGTTACAGGGAGGTGGCTGAAATCTTCCCTCTGAAATGGGACCCTCAAATAAAAAGAGCATCACTTCATTAACAGCTACCAGCGCTGCTCTGTAGGCGACCCTGCCAGTCTGCAGTGACAGCAGAGGAGGGTAAAGTTCAGCTCCTCACTGCTGGGCTTTAGCTACATTTAGGGATCATATGCCTTCAAAGAGGGGGGTGATTATTTATTATCACCCACCCCTAATTCTTCAGTGATATGAAGCTGAAGTCAGATATTCACCAGATTCTTGTTCAAATACTCCTGTTCGACCTTAAATGGAGCAGCAGTTACATTCTGATGCTTCAGGCGTCAGAACTGCTGGACTATTTAAGGTGGAACGGGAAATTTATCTAGCTAGCTACCGAGACATCAGAGCACTACTATTAGTAATTTTTTTTTACTTTTTATGAAGACAAGGATCATAATACACTGAAACGTCATTAAACTAAGATAATTCGATGGTTATTGTTATTTTTAAACAGAGAAAATTCTCACATTTGTGGGTTTCTTTGGTCTCTTGTTCTCCATCTTGCCTGTTTTTCTTTTTTTCTCATATCTCTCTGTTTGGAGTGTCTGAAAAACCTCCGTTTGGAGGGTCATGTAGCCCCAACACTTCACCCTACCCTTGGTGAATGGGAGAGGGGTGAAGTGGGATTGGGACAGAATTTTTCTTCGTAACAAGCATAAAAAGTCGCTACTAGTAGTGCTGATGTCTCGGTAGCTCGCTAAATTTCCCGTTCCACCTTAAATGGTGCAGCAGTTACATTCTGGCTCCTCAGGCATCAGACCTTTTGCTCCATTTAAGGTGGAACGGGAAAATTCCAACCAGAATCTGGTGAATATCTGACTTCAGCTTCATATCACTGAAGAATTAGGGGTGGGTGATAATAAATAATTGCCCCCCTCTTCGAAGATCATATGATGCCCTAAATGTAACTAAAGCCCAGCAGTGAGGAGCTGAACTTTACCCTCCTCTGCTGTCACTGCAGACTGGCAGGGTCGCCTACAGAGCAGCGCTGGTAGCTGTTAATGAAGTGATGCTCTTTTTATTTGAGGGTCCCATTTCAGAGGGAGGATTTCACCCACTACCTGTTGTTCCAAGGTGCAAGGTGACACTCGAAAACAAGGGGCAGGGGTAGAAATAAGAAATGGGACTGGGCCTAGGTGTAACTTTTGGAACACAAGTGTGTTTTCAAATAACACGCACCTTTTTTTAGAGTGTACGTTGAATTGGCTGTATATTAAATCCTTATTTCTCCGTAGATGGATCTCTCACAGGTTCTCTCGAAGCCCGTCATCATCATTCAGACCTCAGAAAACGTCACCAGACTCATCGGAGCTCTGCTCAGGTTCAAAATAAAGCAGCTGTTTATATATAGAGGTCATTTTTAATTCAATATTCCAAGGAATCCGTCTTTTTTGGGTGTAAATAAGTTTGTTCTTTTTTTTCAGAGGTCTTCATGCAACGGCAAAAATCACATACAAAACCTTCCTGCAGAATAACTTGGTAAGACGTTTCACTGAACCGGCTCATTTCACTGTAATGAGGTTGTGCTGGTTTCATTACAGCAGGTGTGTGATATTTCTCTGGTGGGTGTTACAGGGGGCCACTCTGACCCTGTGGTCCAGCTGTGGACGCTCCAGAGGGGGGCTTTATGGAGAGTGGCAGGGGGTCATCTGCACCGGAGAAACAAACTCACCTGTACAGGTATGAACACGCACATCAATAACACTAATATTCATTAGCACATCCGCCTAGCTTGTATCTACAATCAGTGGCCACTTTATCAGAAACACCTATTGCACTGTAAACACACACGGTGCAGCTGTATAATAGGTGTTTCTGATAAAGTGGCCACCTACCTTGTATCTACACTTAGTGGCCACTTTATCAGAAACACCCATTATACAGCTGCACTCTGTATGTTTACAGTTAAAGACTGTAGCTCGTCTGTTACTGTACAGTTGATCAGCCCCTCTACACCATATATCACTAGCTAGGCTTCCATTCACATATTTATGTGCATATTTTGACATATTTAATAAAAAAGCCTTGATAGAAACATCAAACACTTAATAAAATCACCAAAAATCATATGTGTGTAAAATGTATGAGATAAATATGTAAAAATATGTTAAGTGCAAAAGTTTCTCTGGTCTAATTACATGTTTTTGTAAGTAAAAATAAGGAAAAATCCTCCAAATTTAACAAACATAAATGTGCTTTATGTTTTTTTTTTTTAGTTCAACTTCTATTTATTTGCTAAATATAATATATTGGAAAAAAAATAAAGTAAGTGTGCCATAACTTTTTCACATTTTAGTTTTTTTTTCTTCCATTATGTTAAATTTAGTAAATAAACAGTAATTGTGCTTTAAAATGTGCCAAAATATTGATATTTTTTCAAAATGTTGACTCAGCATCTTGAAATAATGACACATTTTCTCAAAAATTGTACATATAAGGTCAGAATAGTGCCTTATTTTCCTGACTTACTATATCAAATTAAATAAAAATGACTTAATTAATTACTTTCGAAAATGTTAATAATTCATTATTTTGATGTAGAGTATCAAAATCTGGAGAAAGTAAGTGATTATTTTAGAGATAAGTCAATATAACATACACCGATCAGGCCTAACATTCTGACCACCTCCTTGTTTCTACGCTCATTGTCCATTTTATCAGCTCCACTTACTATATAGGTGCACTTTGTAGTTCTACAGTTACAGACTGTAGTCCATCTGTTTCTCTGATACTTTGTTAGCCCCTTTTACCCTGTTCTTCAGTGGTCAGGACCCCCATGGACCCTCAAAGAACAGGTACTATTTGGGTGGTGGATCATTCTCAGCACTGCAGTAACACTGACGTGGTGGTGGTGTGTTAGTGTGTGTTGCGCTGGTCGGAGTGGATCAGACACAGCAGTGCTGCTGGAGTTTTTAAACACCTCAGTGTCACTGCTGGACTGAGAATAGTCCACCAACCAAAAATATCCAGCCAACAGCGTCCTGTGGGCAGCAACCTGTGACCACTGATGAAGGACTAGAGGATGACCAACACAAACTGTGCAGCAGCAGATGAGCTATCGTCTCTGACTTTACATCTACAAGGTGGACTGACAAGGTAGGAGTGTCTAATAGAGTGGACAGTGAGTGGACACAGTGTTTAAAAACTCCAGCAGCGCTGCTGTGTCTGACCCAAATAGTACCTGCTCTGTGAGGGTCCATGGGGGTCCTGACCACTGAAGAACAGGGTAAAGGGGGGCTAACAAAGTATCAGAGAAACAGATGGACTACAGTCTGTAACTGTAGAACTACAAAGTGCACCTATATAGTAAGTGGAGCTGAAAAAATGGACAAGGTGGTCATAATGTTATGCCTGATCAGTGTATTCTTAATATGATATAGAGAAGTATTGTATTGTATGAATGTAATGCATTATTTCAGCATAGTAAATTAATATTTCAAGGAAATAAGTAAATATTTCAAGATATTAGGGACTGAAGGAAAAGCAGCCTAACATGCTTTTGCAACATTTCAGCTACTCACATGAATTTCATTCACCTGGAAGGTGTCCCCAAACTTTTGAAAGGCAGTGTAGTCCATATTGTTGTTATCAAAATAAATGAATGTGTAAACTTTTAGATGTCCTTCTCTAAAAGAGTGGATTAAACATTTTAGCTCTTTATTTGCACTGTTTTGTGTTTACCTCTGTATCATATCTGAGCGTTTCACTCTGTGCTCTATCAGAAGTACCTGCAGCAGCTGTGGAACACTGTGGTGCTGGTGGCTCTGATTCTGTCCACTGGGGTCATAGTTCACGCCCGCTGGCAATACCACGACAACCAGTTCAATGATGACCTACAGGTGAACACGCACCTGAGAATTGAATAAGCAAGTGCCCTTCCCTTTAGTGCCCTTCTCTGTGGTTACTTTCCATTTAGCTCCATTCCAGTTAGTGTCCTTCCTCTAGTGCGTTCTCCCTTTAGTGCCCTTTCTTTTTGTGCCCTTTTCCCTAGTGCCCTTCTCTGCAATTACCCTCTATTTATCAGCCTTCCAGTTAGTGTCCTTCCTCTAGTGCACTTCTCCTTAGTGCCCTTCCCTTCAGTACCTTCCCCATTTAGTGCCCTACCCTGTTTAATGCCCTTCTTTGTAGTTAACTTCTATTTACCACCCTTCCATTTAGTATCCTTCCACTAGTGGCCTTCACTCTAGTGCCCTTTGTTTTGTGCCCTTCCCTTTAGTTCCCTTTCCGTTAGTTCCCTTTCTTTTAGTGCTCTTCTTTTTAGTCCTTTTCCCATAGTCCCCTTACCTTTAGTGCACTTCCCTTTAGTGCCCCTTCTTCTTGTGGCTTTCTCTGTAGTGCCTTTTTCTGTAGTTACCTGCTATTTAGCACCCTTCCATTTAGTGTGCTCTCTAGTGCCCCTCTTTTTATTGGCCTTCCTTCTAGTACCCTTCCTTTTAGTGTCTTTCCCTTGAGTGCCATTTCCGGTTTGTGCCCTTCCTTCTAGTGGATTTCTCTTAGGTCCCCCTCTCTTTAGTGCCCTTCCCTTTATTGCCCTAGTGTTCTTAGTGTCTTTCTTTGTAGTTACTACAAAGAAGTGCTCTTCGTATTAGTGGCCTTCCCTTTAGTACTCTTTCCTTTTGTGCCTTTCCTTCTAGTGGTGTTCTCTTAGGTCTCCTTCTCTTTAGGGCACCTCTCTTTAAAGCCCTTCTCTTTAGTCACTTTCTCATTTGGTGCCCTTCCCCGTTTAGTGCCCTTCCCTTTAGTTCTCTTCTTTTTAGTCCTTTTCCCATAGTCTGCGTACCTTTAGTGCACTTCCCTTTAGTGCCCTTTTTTTCTTGTGGCTTTCTCTGTAGTGTCTTTTTAGTTACCTTTTGTTTAGCACCCTTCTTCTAGTGCCCTTCCTTTTAGTGGCCTTCCCTCTAGTGCCCTTCCTTTTAGTGTCTTTTCTCTTGAGTGTGCCTTTCCTTCTAGTGGCTTTCTCTTAGGTCCCCCTCTCTTTAGTGGACCTTCCCTTTAGTGCCCTTCTGTGTAGTTACTCTAGTGCTCTTTGCATTAGTGGCTTTCCTTCTAGTGCCCTTTCCTTCTTGTGGTGTTCTCTTAGGTCCCCTTACCTTTAGTGCGCTTCCTTTATGTGCCCTTTCTTCTTCTGGCTTTCTCTTAAGTCCCCTCCTCTTTAGTGCACCTTTCTATAGTGCCCTTCCCTTTAGTGCCCTTTAGTCCCTACCTTGTTTAGTGTCCTTTCCTTTTAGTGACCATTCCTTTAGTGCCCTTCTCTTTAGTCCCCTTTGCCTTAGTGCTCTTTAGTTCTTTCTCCTTTCGTGCCCACATGAGCGAGTTTATCTCAGTGACGTATCCTAAGATGAAATGGTTCTTCAGATTGATAGAGAATGTGTTGTATATGGTTCTATATCGCACGAAAAAGGGTTCTTCTGTAGTTATGATGTCAAACTTGTAACAACAGCAGAACCCTTTTTGGTGCTATATAGAACCCTTTTCAAAAAAGGTTCTATATAGAACCATATACAGCACATTCTCCATCAATCTGAAGACCATTTCACCATGCAAAGAACCATGAAATGGTTCTCTATAGAGCTCACAGTTCCATTCCCTTCACTAAAGAACCTTTGAAGAACCATCTTAATAAGAACGCCGTCTGTCTTAAATGTATCTGGTTTTTATTTTGATGTTAGAGCAGTTTTGTTGTCGTTTTGTATCTGTTTTCTTTGTTTTTGTCGTTTAGTTGTCTTGAGCTCACAGAGATGAACAGACATTCGAGTCGAAATGGGAATAAATATTTAATTTAGAATTCTAAAATATCCATCAGAGCTCATTTACAGTAAATTCACTCTCCTCAGCTGCGGCCAAAGCAGGACCTGCTGAAAAGACTCTCAGCGTTGAAGACACGAACGTACCGGCAGCCTAAAGCCTGGAGCGACCCGACACACGGTCAGCCTGAGACGGACAGCTGCGCCGTGTGTTTAGAGCAATACAACAACAACCAGGTAACATAAACACACAGTTTCTCTTCTCTTCTCTTCTCTGCTCTTCTCTTCTCTTCTCTTCCCTCCTTTTCTCTTCTCTTCTCTTCTCTTCTCTTCTCTTCTCTTCTCTTCCCTCCTTTTCTCTGCTCTTCTCTTCTCTTCTCTTCTCTGCTCTTCTCTTCCCTCCTTTTCTCTGCTCTTCTCTTCTCTTCTCTTCTCTTCTCTGCTCTGCTCTTCTCTTCCCTCCTTTTCTCTGCTCTTCTCTTCTCTGCTCTTCTCTTCTCTTCCCTCCTTTTCTCTGCTCTTCTCTTCTCTCCCCTTCCCTCCTCTTCTCTTCTCTTCTGTCATCTTCTTTTCTCTTCTCTTTTCTTCTCTTCCCTTCTCTTCTGTCATCTTCTTTTCTCTTCTCTTTTCTTCTCTTCTCTCCTCTCCCCTTCCCTTCTCTTCTCTTCTTTTCTCTTCTCTTCTATTCTCTTCTGTCATCTTCTCTTCTTCTTCTTCTTCTCTTCTTCTTCTTCTTCTCTTCTCTTTTTTTCTTCTCTTCTCCTCTTCTGTCATCTTCTCTTCTCTCCTCTTCTCTTCTCTTCTCTTCTCTTCTCTTCTCTTCTCTTTTGTCATCTTCTATTCTATCATCTTCTCTTATCTTCTGTCATCTTCTTTTCTCTTCTTCTCTTCTTTTTTCTTCTCTTCTGTCATCTTCTTTTCTCTTCTCTTCTTCTCTTTTTTCTTCTCTTCTCTTCTGTCGTCTTCAATTCTGTTATCTCTTCTCTTGTTTTCTTCTCCTCCCTTCTCTCCTCTTTTCTTCTCTTTTCTCTTATATTTTCTTCATACGTTGGTTCTTCTCTTAGATTTGACTCTTAAAAAATGTGGTTCAAGGGTTCTCTTGAAGAACCATCATTTTTAAGTGTGTACTTCCTATTTTTTCTTCTCCTCCTTAGTTTTCCTCTCTCCTCTTCTTCTTTTATCTCTTCTATTTTGATCTCTTTTCTTCAGTCTTCACCTCTTCTCTTTTCTCCTTTCCTCTCTTCTTTTAAGTTTATAGTTTCTTCTACTTTCTTTTCTCCTCTTCTCTCTTCTTTTCTCTTAATTTTTCTTCTATTCTTCTGTTTTCCTCCTCTTCTCTCTTCATTTTCTTCTGTTCTTCTCAGTTTTCCTACTCTCTTTCTGATCTTCTCTTCTTTTTCTTCTCTTCAGTTTTCCTCCTCTCTTATCTTCTCTTCTTTTTTCTTCTATTCAGTTTTCCTCCTCTCTCATCTTCTCTTCTTTTTTCTTCTATTCAGTTTTCCTCCTCTCTTATCTTCTTCTCTTCTTTATCTTCTTCTCAGTTTTCCTCCTCTCTTATCTTCTTCTCTTCTTTTTCTTCTTCTCGGTTTTCCTCCTCTCTTATCTTCTTTTTTCTTCTATTCAGTTTTCCTCCTCTCGTATCTTCTCTTCTTTTTCTTCTCTTCAGTTTTCCTCCTCTCTTATCTTCTCTTCTTTTTCTTCTCTTCAGTTTTCGTCTCTTTTGTTCTCCTCTCGTCTGTCCTCTTCTGTGTGTGTCTGTTTTCTCCTGTTGATCCAGTTCATTAAATCCTGTAGAAATCATGACAGTCCTCTGTTATTTGTTTTTAATAATAATTGTATTATTATTATTTATTAATTGTTAATAATAACTGCCCTGTGCTGTGCAGTGTTTGCGGGTGTTGCCGTGTCTGCATGAGTTCCACAGAGACTGTGTGGATCCGTGGCTCCTGCTGCAGCAGACCTGCCCTCTCTGCAAACGCAGTGTACTCGGTTAGTGAACCACACGCGCGCTTTAACGGTACAGCTTATATATAGACGTAAATCAACGAAGAAGCAGCTCATTCCTACGAATTGTAGACTGTAAAGTAAAAGTAATGAATATGTTTTTAATCTCGACAAATATAACGCAAAATATATCAGAGCCCTTTACGAACAGACGCAAAAAGAAGGTCCGGCTCGATGTTTAGGCCTCAAATGATCTCAGAATCAACGATATATTGACGAAGATATGATGACAATAGTAGATAATTCACTCAAGACACGTCCCTCATGAAGTTTTGACTGAGTTCTCTTCACACAATTCAGTGTAAACAAAAGCAAAAAAGAACATCCAAAGGAAAAATAAAGACAAAGTACTTAAGAATGAAAAACAACAAAAGATAAAAATCTTAAAAAGACGTAATTGAGAGAAAGTGCAAAGTACACACTCTGATAGGTGTGAAGGAATTCCCACATTGTTTGTTTGGTTCTCCAACAATTCTGGACCCTTGAATTTCAGTCTGGGCAACTATGACAAAGATAAAGTGACACTTGTTGAGCTGAAGTGATACGAACTCCAGTATTTTCGTGAACAGTTGTCTGTAAGGAAATAGTGGAATTTGTTTTATCTGCCGTTTTTAGTACTTCCGTTCCTTGTGAAAAGGGCCTGTCATCAGATCAGTCCGCTTGATGAAGAGGTCCAAAGCACAACCCATATTACAAAATGTTCCTCCACACTCTGCATGCAGTTACACATTTCCACCAGAGAGGTCTCCAAATCCCCAAATCTTACATAGTGCAGCTTTAACTAACATAAACATCATCTGCATAAAATTCTGAAAATATTGTGACCATTGAATTTTATCCATTTTGCCAAAGAGAGCATTTATATACACTTAATAATCTGATATCTGCAGAAAATCAGATTGTGTCAGTAACTGGTTACTCTTGTGCAGTCAGATAATGGGGAAACTCAGGGTATACGAGTCAGACAGTAATCAGATTTCTGCTTCACAACCAGCCAATAAACTCACAGAATAAGACGTGACATAAACGGACTGTAAAACTCATGCAGCAACTTTTTTAAAACATCGAGTCATTTTACCTAAAAATATAAACATATATCATCTACACCAGGGGTCGGCAACATGCGGCTCTTTTCCTGTTGCTCCAAAGCTGAATTAGACTTGTAGGTAAAAATAAAATAATCCTCCTTTACAGTAAAATAAAGCTCTGCTGATCGTTCAACACAGTTTAACAATAAATGGTCTTAAACTCTGGAGTTAATGTAGAACTGCTAATTCACCCTTTAACCCTGAAGATCAGCGCAGACTGCTGGTCACCATAGCAACACAGACAACAGTCTTGCCTAGCTAGTAGCTAACGAAACGGCAAAGAGAGAGATTTAAGACGAACATCTATAATTTGGATATAAATGGACTGATTTGTGTTTATAATCACTCCAGCTGGTTTCCTGATACGTTTAATTTGCAACGAGAAACTGACAGACAATGAAAGTGACTAAAAGTCAGTTTCTCATTCGCCACCTTCTTGTTCGAATTTTCCTGTTCCACCTTAAATGGTGCCACAGTTACATTCTGGCGCCTCAGGCACCATTTAAGGTGGAACAGAAAATTTGAAAAAGAAGCTGGAGAATGAGAAGCGACTTCAGCCTCGTAAAAAGTCGAACATTGAGAGACATTTTACAAGAAGCTGTTCTACTTTTGAGGAAAAGTTTCCTGCTGGAGATGTGAGAAAAGCGGCTACAGCTGAGCTAAAGATTAAAGCAGAGCAGAGTGAGTCTGTGTTTTAGTTTATATTATATTTTTAGCCTTTACTAGTAAATTAGCACATACTGAGACAGATTTACAGCTAAGATGGTAAAATGGACATAAAATATTGTGGCTCTCAAGGTGTTTTAATTTTTTTGTTGAAAGGGAAAAATGGCTCTTCTTAACGGTTGGGTTGCGACCCTGAATTAGAAGATGAAGAATATTTAAATCCATCGTTTCGTTGAGCGTATATTTGGTTTCAGCGTTGCTCCGAAAGTGTTATATTGTGTCTTGTGGTGTGTTAAACGCTGCTCGCTGTTTCTGGGACGGCGCTCTGTTTTCACACATGCTCACACTGAGAGAAACGCAAGAAATCAGAGTGAGAGTTTACATTCACTGAAAAACCCCATTACTAAGCTCAAATCCAGCTCTCTGCATCAGATTTCCGGGTCTTAATCCAATCTAAGAAATCAGACTGTGCTGTTTACATGACCACTTAACCTTTTCAACTCCTTGAGACCACCGGTGGTTCCAAAACGCACTTCGTCATATTCTTCATAACTTTCATATTTCATAAGCTACATTCTAAAGGTGGGGGTCGTATGAGAGCTGTAACTGTCTTCTTTCCAGTCTAATAGATGGTGATGTAATTTTAAACCCTTATAATAAAAGAAGCTGAACTCACAATTTTTTGTTCTACTGGAAGTCGACCCATTTTTCCACAAATCTGGGCTATAAACTATAAACAGATGGCGTCTCTTCAGTGATCTGCTCTGTAAACATTACTTTTATAAAATAATACAAAGAGCGTCTAAGATTTTTGGCTTTCAGCAGTAAATTGTAAGCATACAGCAATATGTGTATCATAAAACACATGTTCTGTTAATCTGAGGGGAACTTTTACAAAATAAATAAATAAAAAAAATAAAAATTTACATTTATTTCTTGCAGTTACTGAATAAATTGCCTGATTTGGCCAAATTCAGATTGAAAAACCAAAATATACCCTGGAGAATAATCAGATAACTGCAGAATCAGATTATGATCGTGTTATTAAGTGCATGTAAACACACTGCCTCTCCTCTTTCTGCTCACTGCAGGTAATTTCCGCTGAAGTGGAGCAGCTCTCACTGGTGGATCGGTATCGAGGTAACTCAGCTCACATCTCCCAACCCTGTACTGTACAGCTGGGGCATCACTACAAGAACGAGCCCTGACCTCTCCACAGACTCCTAACCCTCACGTCTGACCTCTGAGGACCCATTTTCCTGACCTTTTCTTTTTTTTTTAAATATCTGCGACGGATTTTAGAAGCATGGGATCCCAATCTGGATACGTTTGTGTTAATGAAGACCTTTTGGAGACTGAAACAGACTGAAAGAGCGCTTCTTTTGGTAGGAGGGGGGTTCAGTCTGTGTTTTCTGAACGCTGCTTCTGGTCGCATGTCTCCCAATAGTCCGTCCCCTGCACCGATTAGCACCGTGCACCGTGTCGCCTCCTCTTACCTGCACTAGCTGATCTGTAGCGCTTATGTTAAAGCAGTTTAAAATCAGACAAAACTGCAACAAATTCTAACAAATTCTCCAGTAATATTTCAAGTCAAAGTTTATTTATTTAGCACTTTTTACAACAGGTGTTGTCACACAGAAAAATCCAGGTCCGAGCCCCCATGAGCGTCGCCAGTGGCGACAGTGGCAAGAAAAACTCCCTAAGAGCAAAGAGGAAGAAACACTGAGAGGAACCAAGACTCAAAAGGGAACCCATCCTCCTCTGGACCACAGCATACAGCAAAACAGTATTTATGACTACGCTCACATTACAAGCCTCATTGTTCAAATCTGATTTTTTGCTCAAATCCGATCTCTCTGACAGGACGGTTCACACTCGTTTAGGTAAGTGACTCAGTTCTGTCATTAATGTGACGAACCGGCGTCCTGAAATGACCCTCATGAGCTCATCCTACTCAGTAACGTCACGTGAATGAATCACGTTCATCATCAGCACAAACTAACGAGCAGAACGAGCTTCGCTGAGAAGATCATTAACTCTGATCAGCTCTCAGCTTCATTATTAGAGCGAGACGAAGGAGAAAAAGGTGAGATGAGCTGCTTTTCCACCGTTTACAGGCTTTAACTTCTGTTCGGCGCTGCTGCCATGGTAGCGCTGAATGATGGCGCAGCGTAGTGGAAATAAAGCACATGAATTCCGATCTGAGCGTCACATTAAGGTCACATGGCCACGAATCGGATACGTATCCGATCTAGGACCACATATGAAGGGTCGGATTTGAAAACATCAGATCTGAGTCACATTAGGGCAAAAAATCGGATTTGTGCCACTTCAGCCTGGTAATGTGAACGCAGCCTATGTGTGTGGTGTGGTGAGCTTCCCCCATGTTGGTCAGTGGTTGGTCAGTGTGGAAGCTACAATAAGAGTATTTTTTTATTTTATCTTTATTTAACCAGGGTGCTGTTGTTCTGTAATAGCTACTGTCCTGAATTCAGTCCGTACTGAAGTCGTCATGGAGACTAAACAGATATTAAGACGTTTCTGTAATACAGGCCCAGGCCTGTTATTTTGGCCGAGAAGACCAGATCATCCACTTTTTCTGCACTGATGTTCAAATCATCTCCACTTCCAAAAGACCTTCACACGTCACCACCACAGCGCTCAGGGTGTGCGGTGTGCGGTGTGCGCTTCTCGCGTCTCTGTGAGCGACAGTGCTTTATTTATTGGACCGCAGACTCATTAGAGCTCACGTCACACATCTACAGACCCGGGTGTCTCTAAAATAACTCATTTTGTTGTTTATTCAAGGCTTTTTCTTTATTCTTTATTTAATTCCATTTTTTTTCATGACTCACTCCAGAATATTGTCTTTACAATGAAAATTGGTGACTGAATCCACTCAAAGAGTGTGTAAGCACTGTGGAACATACAGGTTATGTCAAGTACCTCGGAAGTATCATATTACTTGAAGGACTGCAGTAAGTACTGCAACAGTTTCTGCAGCTTTAAAGAGGAATTCCACTGAATTCTCTGAATTCCTGCATAATTAAGTGGTTAAGATGTAATCAGAAAGGTTCAGAGTGGTTTGGTGTGAAACTCTCCGTTCTAGATAAACCTACCGAGTCAGAACTGTTCACAGTGGTGGTGATAGGAACCAGACGTCCACCTCTAAAAGCTCCCTCACAGAAAGTTCCTACATGAAATGGTTATGAATTCACTGCCTGATGACTGAGACGCTGTTTTATGATAGTTTTGAGAACTTAAACTCTATTCATGGTGGAGGGATACATAATATGCAGGGCGCTGTGAGGCAAAATAGTCCCCAAAGAAAACTTATTATTCCAGATTTTCCACTATTTTCCATCATCAACATTCCATATAAACCCAGAAGACTCGTGTAGGTTCACTGGTGGTGCTGGATAGTAAATAAAATGTCTATATCTGTGTTGTCGTCATGGCGACCCCTGGTTCCTATCACCACCACTGTAAAGACATCTGAACCATTTCACACCAAACCACTCTGAATCTCTCTGTTTACGTCTCAAACACTGGATTTTAGAGGAGTTTTGAAGAATCAGCGAGATTCTCTTTAAACTGCTGCAGAGTTTCTGTTTTAACTACGTAAATATTGATAAGACCTTTTATTTCATTCTGGAACTGAATCTGCCGGTCAGGCAGAGTTATAGGTCAGCATGTACATATAAGCCTTATTTCAATACTTTGTTTAACATGCCTTCACTAACGTCAGCTCGTTACACAAGTGGCCTCTGAATAAGTGAAGAGGGGACAGCGCGGAGTGCTTTTAAGGCCCGGTTGGTGTTGCCAGATTGGGCAGGTTCAAGCCAAATTGGGCAGAGCTTGGTTGTTTTGGTGGGGAAGAAAGGGTTTGGCGGGTGGACAAAATGTGGGCCGGGTTTTCATTATTTTGGCAGCTTTTAAAAAGTTTATCTCTGTTGTCGGAAGAAAACCTTGTATCTCTAAAATGGTAACTTTACAGGAGAAGGAAAAAACCTACTTTACTTTTAATGTAAGTCAATGGAACCAGACTTTTCTCCAAGTCATTTTGGGTCGTTTCTTTTGGTCCATTCATCATGAAATTTACAAACAATGTAAAGAACAACAGGCATTTTCAAATTATGTCAAAAACCAAAAAACAGAAAAAATAGAGATATAAGGTCACATCTTACAGTCAATCCCCATAATGTCCAGGAGATCTTCCATATCGTGTCCAGGAGATCTTCCATATCGTGTCCAGGAACGAGTCGACTCCATGGACAAACCTCTCAGTGGTCCCAAAAATGGAGATACGAGGTTTTGTTTTCCGACAGCAGTAATATGCAGGTAATAAACTGCATTACTTGATAATGCAGCTGAAATTTTATAGGCCTACACATCAAATCAGCTATCAAAACTTTTAGTTCCTCCTGTGTAGACAGCCCATGTCTATCGTTTGCTGTCAAGTTCAGCGATCAATGTGCCCAGTCTATGACTTACATGATGGATGTGTGTTTGGTTCTGTGGTTCTAATACAGCAAAGATTATCAACTTCACATCAGGGTTATTACAGCTCACTAACACTATCACTAAAATCACCAAAAACTAAATCAAAACTATAAATGTTCTCTAAACACTCTCAGAAATAAAGGCACTAAACTGTCTCTGGGTCAGTTCCCCTCTTGTCACTGGGGTGGGACCCTCAATAACTGAACCATAATCCACTGAAATGATATGTTCTAAGCTGTACTGACTCCACACACCCCGTCTCGTCTCCAGGCTTTTATTTTACTGTTCTGTTTTAAAACATTCGGTTATGAAAAGGTACAAATACGAACTTTTCACCTGGAAAAACTTATTTAAGGTTCACAATCAGACCTTAAAACCACTGTTGGAGCTTTGAGGGAACATTTACACTGTTTGTACCTTGATGAATGAAAATGTACCTGAACAGAACCTTCATTTCTAACAGTGAAAAAGTAAAACAAAATAGAATTACTGAGAAAAAACCTTTTAGTTTTTTCAGTGTGAAAAAGAGTTTAGAAGCTCCTCTGTTTCTGGTCTTTAAGGAAAGCTGGAGCTGATTTTTCTCCTTATTTTATTCTACTTTTAATAAAATAAATACTATCACAGCGTTTATCATAATACTAAAAACTAAAACTAAATAAAAACTAAACTAAAGCTTAACTTAAGACTAGTACTGCACCCTTAAGCCTAAACTGAAATTAAAAAACCAAAGTGGGAAAAACTAAAAAAAAAAAATTTATGAAATTTAATTAATGAAATATTAAAAACTAAAATGGTTCTTTAAGGGTTCTTTAGTAAAGAACCATTAAACTTTTGGATAATTAAAAGGTTCTTTGCATCATGAAAGGGTTCTTCAGAATTTGCTGTAGATGGTTCAATAAAAAACATTTTGAAAAGGGTTCTATATAGCACCCAAAAGGGTTCTTGTCACGATGTCAAGCTTTTAACAATAGTACAACCATCTGCAGCACATTCTCCATCAATCTGGAGAACCCTTGAATGATGCAAAGGACCCTTCAGTCATGCAAAGGGTTCTCAGAGTGTTTACTATTTATAGAACTATTTTCTTTACTAAAGAACCCTTGAAGAACCATCTTTATTGTAAAAAGTAAACGTGAATAGTCGTGCCACCCCTAGTGTGCACTCGATCTCTAACAAGTTCGCTTCAGCTAGGATAACAGTATTTTTAATAAAAATGGTTCTTCAAGGGTTCTTGTAAAGGGAATTGTTCTATTTAGAACCCTGAGTTCTATATATAACCATTTGCTTAAAGGGTTCTTTGCTTGGTAAAATGGTTCTTCAGATTGATGGTTGTGTTGTATGTGGTTCTATATGGCACCAAAAAGGGTTCCACTATTGTCACAATGTCAAGCTGGTTATAATAGAAGAACGCTTTTCGGTTTTATATAGAACCCTAATTTTACATAGAACCATGTCAAACACATTCTCCATCAACCTGAAGAACAATTTCACCATGCAAAGAACCATTTAAGCATGCAAATGGTTCTTTGAGTGTTCATAGAACCACTGTTTTACTAAAGAACCCTTAAAGAACCATCTTTTTTTTTAGGAGTGTAGCAGAACGGGGAGGGCATGTTGAAATGAGTAGTAAAGAAAATGGTTCTATAAACAACAATGAACACTCAAAGAACCCTTTGCATGATTAAAGGGTTCTTTGCATCACAAAAGGGTTCTTAAGAATGTGCTGTAATAGTTGTATGTAGAACCTTTTTGAAAAATTCTACATAGCACCCAAAAAGGTTCTTTTATTGTTATGTCAAGCTTGTACAGTAACAATAGAAGAACCCTTTTTAAGCGTTCTGTATAGAACCATCTACAGCACATTCTCCATCAATCTTCCCCATCTTTTATCATGCAAAGGGTTCTCAGAGTGTTCACTATTTATAGAACTATTTTCTTTACTAAAGAACCCTTGAAGAACCATCTTTTTTAAGATTGTAGGAATTAAAGGCGATTAGTCGTGCCACCCCTAGTGCACGCTCGATCCCTCATACAGTACATTTAAAAAAAAAAGGTTCTTGTAAAGGGAATGGTTCTATTTAGAACCATGTCATGCATAAATGGTTCTGTGCATGGTTAAATGGCTCTTCAGATTGATGGAGAATGTGTTGTATATGGTTCTGTATTGCACCAAAATGGGTTCTACTATTGTTATGATGTCAAGCTTCTAACAATTGGTGCTATATAGAACCATATACAGCACATTCTCCATCAATCTGAAGAGCCATTTAATGATGCAAAGATCATGCAAAAGGTTCTTTGAGTGTCCATGGTTCTACCTATAACCACTGTCTTTACTAAAGAACCCTTAAAGAACCATCTTTTTCAGGAGTGCAGCGGAACGGAGAGGCCGAAATGGATGAAGGCATGTTAAAATGAGTATTGCAGGTTCTCACAAACACATCAGAACCACCTGGAAAAGTCTTAAAAACAGTATTTATTGTTATTAATTTCAATTCTTTTCATTTCTGAAGCTCAAAAAACGATGAAACGCTTCTGTTGTTTATCACAACATGTTCTCTTGCGTCTGCTGTGCATGTGGAGAGGACAGACACTGGAAGCCTGTAGCTGCAGAGAGAAACCAGCACTTCACCTGCTGAGATCAGCACATGTTGCTGCTTATTTAACCCAAACTGTACCTTTAATCCCTCACACAGGACATAAAACTGACCCGGAGAGTCTTTAGCACTAGCAGCGCCGCCCCCTCGGCGTAAGGCGCTGTGGAGCTCGCGGTCACTCTGCACATCATCTCTCCAAACTCATTTTCTGTCTCCTTCTTCTGTCAGTACTTTGTACAAAGCTTTGCTTCTGTTGAAATAAACTTACTCGTTACTTCATGGCATAAAAAGCGTCTCTCTGCTGCCCTTTTCACTTTGGTTCATGTTGTCCTTTCAGGACGTTTATTTTGGAAGGAAGAAAGAAAGAAAGAAAGAAAATATTCTGGTTCCCTTTCAGACGCACTGAACGTTCTAAACTCAAAATGGTTACAAATCAGAACAGCTTCAGGAAATAAATCAATGGAACGTATTACAACGTCTTAAAAAAAAAAAAGTAAAGGCCGGTAAACGGAGCGTCTGGATGTTCCTTAGATCATATCGTCGCTGTCGAATCAAAACCTCTGCATTTATTTATTAATTAATTAATTTATTTATATATATCGTTTATATATCGATGAGTAGGTGAATAGAAATGCTCCAAAATTATGTCTTTTAATTAATGTGTGTTATATTTTAGATGTTTTTCCCCTTTTCTTTTGAAGATGTGAGGTTTTGTTACCACGGCGACGACATACGTATTTAATGGGTGCTACACTCAGTATCTAGTACGTGGAGCATCCTCCATCTCCTCTAAATCTCTCGGATTATTTATAATATTAACTGTATCCAGTCCAGTCTGGTGCGCAGTCAGCATTGTTTTTCTCCGTCTCAGGACGGGATCATGCCTTTGTTCCTCTTCCTGTCCGCCATGGCTCGGCGATTGTGATTGGCTCCCCGGCTCTTGTTCATTTCCTTCCTGCGCCGATCCACAACGGTTTCCTGCGTCTGGCCCCGCCCCTTAGGTCCGCCCACCACATGACTCTGAGGGGGCAGTCTGTAGCTGTTGGACAAAAAGATCAAACGAAAAAAAGGTCAGTCTGCCCATTGGGGGTCGGCAATATGACAATATGTTATAATTATCGTGATACTTTACACCACAATATACTGCGTATCGCATATCGACCGATTCAGTACAAGGAGAATATAATTAGTTCTGTTTAACTGTATTTAGTGTAACGGCGTCTGAAACCTTGAACAAACATCACTAATCATAATTTTTCATGGTACTTTAATATGCGGCACTACTAGTTCTGTTTTTTCTGTTCCAACTTATTGTGATGCACATTGTGTATCGTGAACATGTCTTTAAGTATCGTGATGTTATACAACCCCATTTCCAAAAAAAGTTGGGACGCTGTGCAGAATGTAAATAAAAATAGAACGCGATGATGTGCAAATCAGAGACAACAAATCAAATGTTTAACTGAGAAATTGTATTGTTTTTTTTTAAAATATTCGCCTATTTTGAATTTGATGCCAACAACACGTTCCAAAAAAGTTGGGACGGGGGCCTGTTTACCACTGTGTTTCATCACCTCTTCTTTAACAACACTCTGTAAGCGTTTGGGAACTGAGGAGACACTGCTGTAGATTAGAAAGTGAAATGTTTTCCATTCTTGTTTGATACAGGATTTCAGCTGCTCATCAGTTCAGGGGCTCATTTGCTGTATTTTTCATTTAATAATGTACCAAATGTTCTCAGTGGTTACAGATCTGGACTGCAGGCAGGTCAGTTTAGCACCCGGACTCTTTTAATACAGAGCAACGCTGCTGTAATACATGCAGAATGTGGTTTGATATTGTCTTACTGAAATAATCAAGGCCTTCCCTGAAAAAGACGTCGTCTGGATGGCAGCATATGTTGCCAAAACATGTACATATCGTTCAGCATTAATGGTGCCTTCACAGATGAGCACGTCACCCATGCCATGTGCACTAATGCCCCCCTACACCATCATGAATACTGGCTTTTGAACTGTGCACTGATAACAAGCTGAGTGGTCTTTAGTTCAGAGATTTCCAAAAAGAATTTCAAATGTTGATTCGTCTGACCAGTGGACACTTTTCCACTTCCCCTCAGCCCATTTTAAATCAGCTCTGACCCAGAGAAGGTGGCAGCATTTCTGGATCCTGTTTATATTTGGTTTCTTCTTTGCATTTTAGAGTTTTAACTTGCATTTATGGATGCAGTGATGAACTGTTTTCACAGACAGTGGTTTTCAGAAGTGTTTCTGAGCTCATGCAGTGATTTCCACTACAGAATCATGTCTGTTTTTAATGCAGTGCTGCCTGAGGGCCCAAAGATCACGGCCAGTAAATACTGGTTTTTGGCCTCGTCCCTCACATACAGAGATTTCTTTTAGAGACTCTTTTAATGATATTATGTACCGTAGATGATGAAAGGCAGAAGTTCTTTCCTGTTTTATGTTGAGAAACGTTTTTCTTGAATTGTTGCACTATTTGATGGTGCAGTCTTTCACAGAGTGGTGAACCCCTCCTCATCTTTACTTCTGAAAGACTCCGCCTCTCTGAGATGCTCTTTTATACCCAATCATGTTACTGACCTGTTGCCAATCAACCACCAGGTGTTTTTTAGCATTACACAACTTTACCAGCCTTTTGTTCCCCCGTCCCAACTTTTTGGGAACGTGTTGCTGCCATCAAATTCAAAATATGTTTCAAAAACTATAAAATTGCTCAGTTTCAACATTTCATATGTTGTCTTTGTACAATTTTCAATAAAATATATGGTTTAAATGATTTGCACATTGCATTTTGTTTTTATTTACATTTTGCAGTGTCCCAACTTTTCTTGGAAATGGGGTTGTATTTTTGCTATATGGCCCATCCCATAGATATCCATTCCTCGATGCCACGTTGTCTGTTGTTCTCTAACTGAGGCGATACGTCTGCACGGCCGCCATGTTGGAGAGGTCAAGATCCGCTTGTGAACAGATTCACCCTGTACTGAGAGACGATGAGTCTCAGGATTAAATCAGCCACAACTTCCTTATTACTCAACCGATTTTCACCACGTTTGTTTAGTTATAATCCTCAGACACAGATTAATCCAGGCTGCACGGATCTGCTCTCGGTAGCTTTTATTACTGTAATAACTGATCATGATAATTAGCCGTCCGGACCAGCAGGAAAGTATTCAGTCTGTACCTGATGTTAAAAACCGAGTTTAGCGCCAGAAACACAATCAGACACATCAGCAAATCCATCAGTGTGTGAATCACTTCTAATCTTAATACACATAAAAAGAAAATAAACCCCCAAAACACAGTAAGAAGGATGAAACTGAAGTCGGCTTCCTATTTGCCAGCTTCTTGTTCGAGTTTTCCTGTTCCACCTTAAATGGTGCAGCAGCTATATACTGGTGCCTGGGGCTGCACTATTTAAGGTGGAACAAAAAGCTGGCGAATAAGAAGCTAACTAACAGGTTTGTGTAATAAGGTGCTAATCTACTGTGAAAATCTATACAGATTAAGGAATGCTGTAACTTACCTACAGTGCTTACTGTAAATAAATAAATTACTACTACATAAACGTTAAGACCCCCTGAATAGATTCTCTGTGCTTCACCAACCACTCGGCCATATCTACACAAACATCACACAGACATGAGTGTGGATCACTGCGTTCCCTCCGTTATATAATCCTATCCCACTTTCTGAGTGTGATATTCCTGAAATAGTGTAATTTCGGACAGTATCTTTCTTAAACTGCCGCTCTGTAATGGTACTGAATGCAGTCCAGCAGCGATGTTGACCTCCCCAAAATGGCAGCGCCATTGACGCGTCTGGTTGAACCCAATGTGGCATCTATGTATCCATATTTATGGGCCCAACCTACTGTCAGTCAATTTATTTGATAATTAGATAACTGATCCATCTAGGCTCCGCCCAAAACCACATTCTTTCGGAGCTTCTGTTTGTGAGCTGGTAATAATCCCAATTAACAGAACAGACTCGGTTTATATCACAATACCTACATTTAGAGTCGGTTATTCATTTAGCCTAATGAGAAACTGTAGAACAGACTCGGTTTATATCACAATACCTACATTTAGAGTCGGTTATTCATTCAGCCTAATGAGAAACTGTAGAACAGACTCGGTTTATATCACAATACCTACATTTAGAGTCAGTTATTCATTCAGCCTAATGAGAAACTGTAGAACAGACTCAGTTTATATCACAATACCTACATTTAGAGTCGGTTATTCATTCAGAAAATTACGTCTCTTGTTCATCACTATACTGTAATGGTTGCAGGTGTGTATATGTTCAGTCTTTTACCCTTTCCTGCTCTGCATGGCGATTCGTCTGGCTTCTGCTCGTTCTCTTAGCACCGCAGGGTCCTGCACAAACTGATCTCGCTTCACTGCGTCTTCCTGTTGAAACACACACAAACAAATCAATCCAAGTTTCACTTTCAGTCAGAGACCCTTCAGACCGTTCCACAGATTCGGCCTCCGACATGCGAACAATCTGTTAAAGGACCATATTCTACATTTTTCTTGTTTTTTTTCCATCCCCAAATTCCACTTCTGATGTTTGTGTGTCTTTATGTATCAAAAACACTCAAAATTCATTTTTAAAATTCATTTATAAAATCCAACCTCTCTTTATCTCTCAGTATTAAAGAGGCTGTTTTTGTTTACTGTGCCTTAAACACTGATTTACAGTCACATGCAATCGTTTGAACACCACCTGTTAGCCCTGGTCAGTTTTAGTGCCCAGTTTCTAGTTGCTGAGTTTGACATATTATAAAAACATATAAAATGTGCCATAACTTTTTCACAGGCCACATTTTATGTTTTATTTTTTCATCCCTCATATATTAAATTCAAAAAATAAAGAGAAACGGTGCCATAAAAAATGTGCATACTTGTTTTCTGTAGAAAATGTGTTTACTTAGTTTCACTTAGAAAAACAAAACAAATAAACATTTCATTTGGCCAGGGGTGCCAAAACTTTTGCATATAACTGCAAATGAACTCTGTTCTGATTGGCTTCTGATTGTATCTCAGTCAAAAGGCAATCAGGCTGAAACATTACTTATAACTTCAGATAGGTGGGCAGGGCTAAACTGCTGTAGGCTAAATAGGTGGATATAATATGTAAATGTGTTTGTGTGACATCACAAATACAGTTCATTAAAAATGAGCTGTTTTTGCAGCATTATTTCCAAAAACAGTCTGTGAGGACTGAGGAGTGTAAGTCTGCTTTAAAACTCGTCTATATACATTATATACATATATTCATCAGACTTATTTAAACAGAAGTGAGGAGACTTCAGTTTTCCCTTTAATAGCGTTTTAGTCGCTGTAAGAACTTCTGAGATGTTCACAGACATCAAAGAACTTTACCTTTTCTTCTTCTTCCTCTTCTCCCTCCTCTTCCTCTTGCTCCTGCCGTCCAGTCCTGAGCACCTGCGGTGTGGTGAAGGGTCTACAGAAGGCAAAGGTCATCATACGCAACAAGTTTGCAATCAATATTTTCAATAATATAAAAATAATTTTGTAGCTGATAAATGTTTAAAATGGTTCTAATATGATGCAACTACTGTACGACTTCACAGGTCTGAAACAATTTAGATGAATGTGCAGATGATTATATTAATCAATATTAAGATTAATATCCAAAGAAAAGCCACCCGAACGCATCGTATTTCAAAAGTGCTTAAATCTCACTGATACGACGGCGTTTTAGGACCACTGTTCATAAAAATAGAAATAGTAGACTTCGAGAACATAGTCATAATATTTCGAGAATAAAGTCATAATATTTCGAAATAAAGTCGTAATATTTCAAAAATAAAGTCGTAGTATTTCGAAAATAAAGTCGTAGTGTTTCGAGAATAAAGTCGTAATGTTTCGAGAATAAAGTCGTAGTGTTTCGAGAATAAAGTCGTAATATTTCGAGAATAAAGTCGTAGTGTTTAGAGAATGAAGTCGTAATATTTCGAGAATAAAGTCGTAATATTTCGAAAATAAAGTCGTAATATTTCAAAAATAAAGTCGTAATATTTCGAAAATAAAGTCGTAGTGTTTCGAGAATAAAGTTGTAATATTTCGAGAATAAAGTCATAATATTTCGAAAATAAAGTCGTAATATTTCGAAAATAAAGTCGTAATATTTCGAAAATAAAGTCGTAGTGTTTCGAGAATAAAGTCGTAATATTTCGAGAATAAAGTTGTAATATTTCGAAAATAAAGTCGTAATATTTGGAGGATAAAGTGGGCTAACTGTAGGGGGCTAACTGTAGGGGGGCTAACTGTAGGGGGCTAACTGTAGGGGGCTAACTGTAGGGGGCTGCCATAACGCGTTGGGGTCTCGGTTGCTGTACTGTAGGGGGGCTGCCATAACGCGTTGGGGTCTCGGTTGCTGTACTGGCGCTGGAGCTCCACTCACTCCTGTCTCTCTGTGGATCATTTTGATCATCATTCTCACTGTCTGTGAAACTCCATGCCCTCTTTGAATGGGGGGAGATGAAGCCCCCGATAGCCGTGTAGACGACCCTGCCTGAGATTCTCCTTCAACAACACAGACAGACAGTTTCCTCCGAGTCCGTCTGGCTCTTTATTCTAGATAAACACAGTTTCCTGCTCAGCCGTTTCAGCCGGTTCTTATACTAATAACAGGCTGGTGCTGATGTGCAGGAGAGACAGGGAGACTGAGTGTTTCTTTATGGGTGAATCAATATGAAAGTAGAACTCCACCAACTCACCGCCCCTCATTTAACACCAGGAGGCGCTGCTTCACTTCGCAAAGCCTTTGGCCACAATATTGACCTTTCCTGGTATTAATTCTGATATTAATTCCAGTCGGAATTCAGCAACTTTATTCTCAAAATATTACAATTTTTTCTCAAAATATTACGACTTTATTCACGAAATATCATACCGTACGTCTTTTTTTCTCAAAGTATTATGACTTTATTCTCTATATTTATTTTTATTAACAGTGGCCCTAAAACGCCGGTGTACACTGACGATGGTTGTAAATAGATTATTAAACAGTATCTAGTGTGTCTTATTAAAATATTTAAATGTACACTGTATTAAGTACTAGTGTTTATAAACATTAAGCAATATTATAGTATATTATAGTAATTTAAAACTTTTTGAAAAGTACTGTATATATTCACTTTATATATTAATATGAAACTATATTTATATTAATATCATAAGCATTTAGCTTCATAGTATTTTCATTGCCTGCGTACGGTTCGTACCTGCGGTTCAGCAGCTCGTCGTCCTCATCCAGGTCATTGGCCCCCACCTGGTTGATGTCATACGTGTCATCATATTCGTCATCGTAGTCATCAAAGGCGTAAGTGCCGCCTTGGTTACCGGACTGGTCGGTTGCTATGGGAACCTCCTCCACCACGGTCTGATAGCTCTGATACCTCTCTCTCTGTTCATCAATGTGGCGTTTATCATCGAGCATCTCGCGGACGCTCTCCCCCTGCCTGAGACGCAGAGACGTAAACACAAGCTTCCAGACACATCATCACATATCGCCTTCAATCATCAGTGAGTCAGTTATCTTTTTATTTTTAATAATTACATGAATGATGCCAATATAAAGCCCCTTTCATAGTGCATCACTAAAAATAAATTAGATTATTTATTAAACATTGGTGTGTTTTATCATATATCATATTATACAAGTAATAATATTATATTAATATTCGAGTCCTTGGCGTCAGCTCCTCCTGACTTTAGGAGTTGTGTTAATGGTCAGAGAGAGCAGCCTCACCTCCTGCCCTTCCACACGCGGCTCATGTCCAGCTGGTCACGATTAAACACATCAAACTCGTCGTCGTCGAACACGTTGGATCTGGAGCTCATCACTGAGGGCAGAGCTTCCTTCACTGGCCTGCAGGGGGCAGCAGAATGAATAACTGATAGTAAATACTGAATAATTTGTAGTAGATACTGAGTAATCTATAGTAGTCTTTAAACAATTCATATTAGATACTGAGGAAATAATTTACTAATTATAATAATTCATATAATTTGTGGTAATTGCTAAATAATTAATAGTGGATACTGAAGTCATGATTATTACTGAATAATTTATAGTAGTTACTGAGTAAATAATTTGCTAATAATAATAATTTATATAATTTATAGTAATTTCTGAATAATTCATAGTACATAAAGAACAATTTATGGAAGATACTAAATAATTCATGGTCGTTACTGAATAATTCATAGTAGTTACTGAATAATTCATAATAGATCATGAATAATTCATAGTAGATCATTAATAATTTATGGAAGATACTAAATAATGCATAGTCGTTACTGAATAATTCATGATAGTTACTGAATAATTTATAGTAGTTACTGAATAATTCATGCTAGACATTGAATAGTCTGAATAATCAGACAGCAGGTTAAATAACATTCCCTGCCATCATTTATTATGGGTTTTATATATATAAATATATAAATATTTACACACACACACATTAGTTAGGGATATACTTCTATATTAAGTTGCTCAGAAAGGCCTTGATGACTGTAAGATCAGGAAAGTTATAAAGTTCTACACAGTGGTGGATCTAAAGAGAAGTGCTGGGAGTCGCTGATCTAGACTGATCTAGACTTGTATGTTTACTGAAGGTCCCGTCGCTCTGACCGTGGATGTGTACCTGGGCATTGCTCGGTCCAGCTTGTTGAGTTCTGGAGCCAGTTTGTCCTCCAGAATGTTGTTGATGACGAGTTCACTGTCGTAGCCGTATTCTTCCAGGCAGGCCAGCAGGAAACCCTCGCCCAGATCCGGCAACAGGTCGCGGATATGAGAGAGCAGAGACTCCAACTCTCCAGCACTCACAGTGCACACTGCCCCCTACAGGAGCAGAGGACAAAACAAATCCAGCATTGATAAAGCAGAAATAATCTGTTGATATTTTAAATAATCACATTTGCACTAGGGGTGCAGCGATATGGGAATTGTGGGTAGATACTGATTGGTGATATTTTTCGTGTGCATTGCTGATATACACACATTTATAATCAAAAATTGGGAATAAATGGATCAGCATGTTGGGTTACGAATGCAGTAAAACGAATAAAATGCACGAATAAACAACAGGATCAAAATATAGAGGTAGCGTTTGTCTCAGCAGGTATTTAATGAAGGGAAATTAAACAAACTCATCAAAAAAGTCTGTAAATCATTCGGCATTTAGCCAACATTGACTCAAACTGCTCTAAGTGAACTTACATTGGCTCCTTTGCGAGGGATGTCCATCATAGCCTCTGCCCCTCTAAGCTCCTCCCCCATCGTAGCTCCACCTCCCGCTGCCTCCATCAGGGCTGGTCTCGTATCTGGGTATGCCTTGCTCGCAGTGTCTCCACTCTGATTGGCTGACGAGGCCGTAACGGGCCTTTTTTTCCCGATGCTGTCCCACGCGGACTCTACAGCCTGCAGCAGGTACGACGTCCGCGTGTCATCTCTGAGAGAGAGGAGGTTAAGGAGGACAACACACGCAATGCTATAAGGCTATTTGTCCATACTTTAACCTATGTTTATAGATAACAGTGTCATATGGTGTCAGAAACCACAAAATCAAGGCTCAGTCCCATTTCCTGTTTCTACCCCTACCCCTTGTTTTCGACTGTCATCTTGCTAACTGAGTTACAGGGCAGTGGTTGAGATCCTCCCTCTGAAATGGGACCCTCAAATAAAAAGAGCATCACTTCATTAACAGCTACCAGCGCTGCTCTGTAGGCGACCCTGCCAGTCTGCAGTGACAGCAGAGGAGGGTAAAGTTCAGCTCCTCACTGCTGGGCTTTAGTTACATTTAGGGCATCATATGATCTTCAAAGAGGGGGGCAATTATTTATCATCACCCACCCCTAATTCTTCAGTGATATGAAGCTGAAGTCAGATATTCATCAGATTCTTGTTCGAATTTTCCCGTTCCACCTTAAATGGGGCAGCAGTTCTGATACGTAAGACACCAGAATGTAACTGTAAGAATCGTGACGCCCTACCACTAGACGTGAACGCGCAGAGGTAGGGCTCAGTGGTAGGGTGAGGGGTGAAATGGGACTGGGCCCAAGTCTATTAGATATAAAATCTCAGATGCAACTAGGACTGTTAGTTCCTTGGGTAGGTATTTGGGTTTTAATTTTGGGAGTTTTTTTTTTTTTTGGGGTGGGGGTTGGTTAAATGTAGGCTAACAGTAAAGGCAAACTGCAAAATATCATAATGTCCATTTTTCATGGGAGAAAATTAGTCGACTCAAGGTTACGGTCCATAACCCAGTTTTATTTTTAATTTGAGGAAAACAACGTCACTTCACCCGCATACAGACTCTTCAGTCCTCGTATGAATTAACCAAAAACAGCCCAACACAAACATTTCTTCTCTTTAAAATAGAGACAGAGTGCACAGCGCAGCGTAGCGACGTCACAGTACATTTTTTCAGCACATTTTTGTACTGTTTTTATATTTTTTACTCACTCTATTAAAATGTGGAAATATAAACCATCTCAGCTCGGGCGCCTGACGTCCCGCTCACTCACAGCAGTGAAAGTCATGTTATCGCGGTGCTAGGCCGCATGTATTCCCAGCACCGCTGCAAACAGTGCCCCGTCGTACTGACCCTTACTAGGGCCACGATGTTGCCCTTCGTACCTCAAATTAGACCCCCTCCGTGAAGCGCTGGTTAACCCACACATGCACCGTGCTGTTACCCAGGGGTTAAGAGAGGCTAGCGGGCTGGTAGACGGAGCGAAGCCACGCTGTAAGGAAAGCAGCTAGCCTGGAGATTCGGATGTTACAGCGGTTAAAGCCAGATTTCCTGAACGACTTTAAGTTTCTCAAAGTTTCAAAACATACCATTACAGCCAGTACAATACAGTCCTCTTTACCTTTAGCACTGCCCCCTTAATACATTGATTTTATAACCCTTTGTATTTAATTTCTTAAATTTCTTTCATTTCTAGTCTCGTAGCTCCAGTGCTAAAACTTCAAACACCAAACATGTCTTGATTGTATTTGAAATAAGAAGGAAACTGTAAATTTGATGTATTTTGCTAAAGGAAAAGTGGCTAACAGAAGACAAGCCAACCTAAGACCTGCTCCAATTTACAGGAACTGTAATGACTGAACCCTCTGAGTAACTCCTCCCATTTATTCCTAGATGAAGCTGTGAAACAGTGAGGATACAGGTGAGGAAAAGCCTGCTGAAGGAGACTGATGTCATCAGCCACAGGAAACTGCTCATCATAATCCGCCAAAAACCTGCCAATCAAAACACAACAGGAGGAGCCATAAGATATTACACAGTAGAGCAAAGGTCAGTCGTTAAGTCCATTTACTTTAAAAAGCCTCTATAATGTTCATATGATCCACACAGTCACTCGGACAGACTGTAATACACTACAGGAAGTGTAGGGGGTGATATGGCTTCTACTGTTTCATTTAAAAAGCTCTATAATGTTCATATGATCCACACAGTCACTCTGACAGACTGTAATACACTACAGGAAGTGTAGGGGGCGATATGGCTTCTACTGTTTCATTTAAAAAGCCTCTATAATGTTCATATGATCCACACAGACACTCTGACAGACTGTAATACACTACAGGAAGCGTAGGGGGCGATATGGCTTCTACTGTTTCATTTAAAAAGCTCTATAATGTTCATATGATCCACACAGTCATTCTGACAGACTGTAATACACTACAGGAAGTGTAGGGGGCGATATGGCTTCTACTGTTTCATTTAAAAAGCCTCTATAATGTTCATATGATCCACACAGTCATTCTGACAGACTGTAAGATACTCAAAATGTTTAATATTTTATGTTTATTGCTTAATATTTTTACCTTTTCTCTTGTAGGAAAGCTGAGAAGGTCTGAAGAAAATCCTCTACAAATGAAGCTGTATGTTCAGAGCTGTGTAAAAGAGAAACATATTTAAGTTTAAGATAAAATACATATAAAAAATAGACTTCAGCATCAAAGCCTACAATACCAAAAGGTACCGGTCATATCCTGGTACTGCAACTTTAGCCGCTACACTTTCAGACCCCTACACCTGTTCTCAGGTAGCATATAATAATAAACAGATATTGCTATTTGAAAACTGCATTCTTAAAAAAAGATGAACCTTTCAGCTCTACACTGCTAAAAATGATAGTTTTCAAGGGTTCTTTAGTAAAGAAAATGGTTCTATATAGAACCATGTACACTCAAAGAACCATTTGCATGGTTAAAGCGTTCTTTGCATCGCGAAATTGTTCTTCAGATTGACGGAGAATGTGTTGTATATAGTTCTATAAAGCACCAAAAAGGGTTCTCCTATTGTTTTGATGTCAAGCTTGTAGTGATAAGAACCTTTCTTGGTGCTGGTTCTATATAGAACCATCTACAGCACATTCTCCATTAATCTGAAGAACCTTTCACGATGCAAAGAACCCTTTAATCATGCATATAGAATCTTTTTTACTAAAGACCCTTGAAGCACCATCATATTCAAGTGTGTGGTTGTTTCCACCCCGATGCTGCTGAGGAGCCACTAATACACCATGGTTTTCATCTGGGAAGCTCTGCAAGCTTCGTTTACCCATAAATCCCTTATGTATTGAGTTCAGAGAAGAGTAAATCAGCCCTCAGTGTGTGTATACTGGACTGTATATGTCCTCACCCCTCCAGTATAGGCTGCAGGCAGGTGTGCTGCAGCAGCAGGTGTGTGATCTCCACCATTCTCCTGCGGGAGTGACACACTCTCCTCCACAGATCCTCCTGCAGACTGAGACAGCACAGACACATCACCCAATCAGACTTCATTCACACTCAGCACACACTGAGGGAGACCCTCAAAACAAGAGACTGAAAAGGGTAAGACAGAAATCTGTTTAATATATAATATTTAATATATAAATTTAATAAAAGTGGGAAACACTTTACTTGAAAGCTGCAACACTGACAAACATGCATAAACATGTCATGCAGTAATGAGTTGTCATTCAGTGAGACAGACGGATAGACGGATGGATGGATGGATGGATAGATAGATAGATAGAAAGATAGATAGATAGATAGACAGACAGACAGGTAGACAGACAGATAAGATAGATAGAGGGAAAGTCGTCTATTACAGCAGCACAAAGTACAGTAAAGAGCAAAAGTATTGCTGTACACTATTATACAGATGCATAAATAAAAGATGTAACGATATATAATAAAATATACTAAAACAACCATAAAATATAATGCAAATAATACAAAAATAAGTAAGTAAAATTGCATAAATATTATGCAAGTGACAATGCAGTGGTGCATGACACATCCAGTGAACATACCGACTGACTAAAGATAAAATCTTAACAGTTGTGCAACATGCCTGGGTGTATAAACATGTGGCAGTGCAATATGCAATATTATGGATGTATAACCAAACTAGCAGTGCACAGTAACGAGTAGAGAGATATAATGTCCAGCTGACGCTCAGTGAGCCTGTCCTGTCAGTGGCTCAGTATACAATAATGAATGCTGAGAAACATTTTACAAGAAAATATTCTACTTTGGCAGAAAAGTTTCCTGCCGGAGATGCGAGAAAAGCAGCTATAGCTGAGCTAAAGCTTAAAGCAGAGCAAAGTAAGTCTGCGTTTTCGTTTATATTGTATTTTTTACTCCATACTTGGACATCAGCTCACACTGAGACACATTTACAGCCAAATAGACAGAAAATGTTGTGGCTCCCAAGGTGGTTTGATTTTTGTTGAAAGGACAAAACGGCTCTTTGGGTTGTGACCCCTGTCTTAATAAAACAACTCCACCTCACCACAGCTCTCACTGGACGTCTTCTAACTGCTATTAACCTCAAAGTCTTTAAGTTTTCTGATTTTTTACGTAAACGTTTATACACTTTATTCTCTTCTCCTAGAGGGTTTCTAAAATCTACCATTTTACACAAGGCCTAGAACGTCCTGAGGGCTCCCCACTAGGATATCGGGAATGACCAACATTGACCCCCTAGATATGGCTAAATTATTTTCAAACAGGTTGGCAAATAATATTACATAATGCTTACATGTACTGGTTTATTTCTTTTAGTCTTATTTGGTGAAGGATTATTATATCAGTTGACCATTACAGGACATTAATTAATAAGCAGTTAAGCTACAGTAGACTGAATTTACCCATCATACTGTTTGAGGAAAACTCTAAACATTTTCCACTTGGGGGCGTACAGTGACAGTGACCCTGATTTTTTCACCAGACAGTATTTGGAGAACTATCTTGAGGATTTCTCTTTACAGTACTAACCATTTATCGAAGTTTCTCTTTGTCAGCGCTTTCTCCAGATCGGGCACTGCTGTCTCGTAGAACGAGGACAATCTGCAAACAATTAAAAGGAAAAACGGGTTTAAAACATCACTGGTTGACAAGCCTATTCAAATGAATCAGGATGTGTGTTACCTGTTGAGGAAGCCGTGTTGGTGAAAGGTGGAGCAGGCTCCAGGGAAGATGTCCAGAAAAGAGTGTATGGTGGTGCAGGTGTCGCACAGGTACAACACCAGGTCAGCAAGATCCTACACACACAGATCAAAGGGAACACTGACGACTGCAAGTCTGCACCGCCTTAATGAACACCTGGATGCTGTTCGAGCAGGTTGAGGAAAGTTTTGGTGATGTTTTTTTACAGGGGCTATTTGGGTGACTATTGAGTTCTAGTGTCTGTTAGCAACGTTAGCCTTGGTGCTCCTGTTCTAAAGTAAAGACGCAGAATTTGGTCTCCAAACGTGTCTTGCCTGATGTCTGGGGTAGGTCAGCCACCTCCGATCAGCCTGCAACTGTTTTACTTGATCTTAGTTTTAAAGTGATTTTTGGTATGTTTTAGTTATTATTTAATGTTTATTATTCTGTTTTTAATTTATTTTAATATGGCCAAGCTATTGTTTTACATCTTTTATTTCTTTATATTTCATCAATTATATTTATTATTTATACTTATTTTATCTTATTAAGTTACAATATTGTTGTAATTTTAATAGTTTATTGATTTCATTTTTTTAATTTACTACTATGATTATTACTACTTTTTTAGTGTTTTAAATGTTTTTACTATTTCATTTCTCAGTGCCCATGCAGTGATTTCCACTACGGAATCATGTGTTTTTAATGCAGTGCCGTCTGATAAAATTTCTCAGTTTCAAGGGTTGTACATTTAGTCATATTTCATACCGTACTGCCACTTTGTTTATGCATCCATAAATGTCATATTGCGTAACATTTATTGCTGCAGTCCATAGTCAGTAGTTCATTCACTGGAGGGACAGGCACCACTGCATTGTCAACTGCATTGTATTAATGCAATTTCTTTTTTTTTAACGTTACATTTTAGTATATTTAATTTTATTATTTATCTCTTTTTCACTTTCTTTTTATATATCTGTAAATAGTGTACTGCAATACTTTGCTCCTGTTTTGCTCTTTACTGTGTTTTGTACTGGGATCAATAAAGTGATCTATCGATCTATGTCAGTTATATATATATATATATATATATATATATATATATATATAATATATATATATATGCATGAATTCTCTAATGCTTCCCTCATGGCCACATGGTGAGCAGTTAGATCCCATTGTTTTGAAGTAAATGAGTCCCAAAGTCTGAAAATCAGTGTGGAACATTAAGAATCATCATATTTTCTGCAGTTCAGCACTTTTTAGTGTTTTAATGTAAAATATGATGATTTTCTGTGTGAACAGCTGTTCAGAGCTGTGTTTGCTGAGTTTTCGAGCTCAAAATGAGCTAAAATTGTCACTGAAACAGTCACTACTGACACATTTGGTACAGTTTGGTAGAGTTATGGTTGTTTTGGTAGAGACAGAATGTAACGTTCAATCATTAGTTTTAATAAAATAAACATAATTAAGGTTTAGAGTCACAGTCTAAAGTGTAAAATCAGTTAAAAGTCCCAAATGTCTCTGACTTTGAACCAGTTCATTTTATTTTATTATTTATCTCTTTTTATATATCTGTAAATAGTGTACTGCAATACTTTGCTCCTGTTTTGCTCTTTACTGTGTTTTGTACTGGGATCAATAAAGTGATCTATCGATCTATGTTAGTTATAAATAAATAAATAAATAAATAAATAAATAAATGTGTGCATGAATTAGAGTGTTTCATGTAAATGAGGGTTAATTGGATATGTCTTTTACAAATTAGATGTAAACAAAGTACTAGTGGGCGGTGCTTGTTTCCACACAGTTAATGAATCTACATCAGCTGTGTGGAAACAAGCACCAAGCATTGTTTCGACAATGACTCGAGAATGGAGTAGTTTTTTTACATCATTCGCTCACGTGCGCTCACTTGCACGTAACTCTGGTGACTAAGCGTCAGCGTATCTTTGTGTGTGTGTGTGTTTTACCTCCTCTGTCATGGTCATGGTGGTGCGGCGGGGTTGTGTGTTCAGTTTGACCGGCTCACTGGCTCCTGTCTCCTCAGACTGCAGTCCGCACTTCTCCAGAATCGTATCAAACACCTAAACAAAAACATACACATTCATTATTTACACCATTCGACTGAATTAGTTCAAACTGCACTCGCAAGGTTAATAAGAACTATTTAAAAAACAGTTAAAAAGTATTCAAATCTACAATATTTACAAGGATTTTGTTCTGATCTATTTAAACCCAATGCATTAATAAAGACAGTAACATGCTAAATATATACTAAAATCATTATTTATAGGGTTCGTTCTATTGGGAGGGGTCTGTCCCAAACCCTACCCCCCTAAATTTACACTTATAAAATACTTATTTTCTAAAGATCTTTTTCATTTCTTTTAAAATGAAGTTAAAACATTGGGATTTATTATAGGTTTAATTTTTAACTAAAAAATGCTGAACATTAAGAATCGTCATATTTTCTGCAGTTCAGCACTTTTTAGTGTTTTAATGTAAAATATGATGATTTTCTGTGTGAACAGCTGTTCAAAGCTGTGTTTGCTGAGTTTCTGAGCTCAAAATGAACTAAAATTGTGACTGAAACAGTCACTGCTAAAACATTTGGTAAGTTTGGCAGAGTTATGATTGTTTTAGTAGTGACAAAATGTAACGTTCAATCATTAGTTTTAATAAAATAAACATAATTAGGGTTTAGAGTCACTCAGAGCAAAAGGACTTTAGTCTAAAGTCTAAAATCAGTTAAAAGCCCCAAATGTCTCTGAACCAGTTCAGTAGAATCATCCATAGACAAATCTAACTGTGTCTTTCAGCAAATCAGAAGCAGTCACTGCTGATGACATCACATGAGCAGGAGACTCACCTGAATGATCGAGGGCACAGTCTCGTTCAGGTCGCCATAGTAACTGGGCTGCTGATTGAAGATGTTCTCTGAAAAAGTGAAAACTGTTGATTCACTGATTGATTAATGTATTAAAAATGACTGAAGTACAAAGCTCCGCCCACAAATACAGAAATGTAATCATGTTTCTCATCAGGTTCAATGAATACCCGACTCTAAATGTAGGTATTGTGATATAAACTGAGTCTGTTCTACAGTTTCTCATTAGGCTGAATGAATAACTGACTCTAAATGTAGGTATTGTGATATAAACTGAGAACACATATGTGGGCGGAGCTCAAACAGGGCAATTCATTCGAATTTTGGTGGGAATACCGATCATTTTGTGCAGCAGTTGAGTATTCCCTCTACCAAACAGCACACACAGGTCCAGGATTTTCGGAATGTCGAACAGGAAGTTGTCATAAATAATTTCTCCAAACACAGCAGGTGTGATGAAGTTGTCCTGAATAGTGAAAAACAGATTCAACAAGGACATTTAGAGGCTGGAGGAATGCACCAGTGCATCAGAACAAACGGAACTTCATTTAAATTTTTTCAATAATTTCAGCCTAAAACAATACAAAATCGTGAGAAATGATACCAGATTTTTGGCTCAATACAGAAATCACGATTATTAATTCAGGAACAACAGTTTTATTGCATTATTAATAGGAAAGAAAACAGCATTTTCTTTCACACTGTACATTAATTACAGTATATAAATGTGGTAAATAAATATTGTACATAAATCTATATTTATTCATCTTGGTCAAAACTAAACTGATCCTTATTCACATTAGATGAGTGCATCACGTATTATGAGTGCATCACTAATATTAGGCTAAATATTAAAATATTAGGGGCCTGACAGAGGAAAATTGTGACGGATACTGACTTTAGGAGGCTAATATTTCAGACATCAGCCCCTATAATTTTGTATTTTTTTATTTTAATGCTATATTCTAGTAAGTGTAGTTTAAACAGGGCTTTACTGAGTAATATGATGCTCAGATCTTAATGCTTACACTTCTTAAACTCAACTAAACCACAGAAACTCACAGTATTCAAGGGGAAATCCACCATTTTTCTAAATTTCTGCATAATTAAATGGGTAAGATGCAAACAGAGTCATTCAGAGTGGTTTGGTGTGAAACGCTCCGTTCTAGAGAAACTTGCCGAGGCAGAACTGTTCACAGTGGTGCTGATAGGAACCAGACGTCCACCTCTAAAAGCTCCCTCACAGAAAGTTACTACATGTAAATGGTTATGAATTCACTGCCTGATGACTGAGACACTGTTTTATGATAGTTTTGAGAAGATTTCGGCCTTAAAATCCATTCATGGTGGAGGGATACATAATACGCAGGGCACTGTGAGGCAAAATAGTCCCCAAAGAAAACTTATCATTTCAGATTTTCCACTATTTTCCATCATCAACATTCCATATAAACTCAGAAGACTCGTGTTGGTTCACTGGTGGTTTTTGATAGCAAGTAAAATGTCTATATTTGTGTTGTAGTCATGGCGACCTCTGGTTCCTATCACCACCACTGTAAAGAAAACAGCCATAAATTATTTATACCATTTGACCATTTTCCAACATGACCATTTGACCATTTACCACATATGACCATTTTCCAACCTCTCTTTATTCCTCAGAATTTAACAAGCTGTTTTTGTTACTGCACCTTACATTACTTCTATTACTGACATATGTAAATGAGCTCTGATCTGACTGGCTGTCCTCTATTGTGCCTCATTCACAAAGCAGTCGGGGCTGAAATTCCCTTTGTAACGTCAGCGTGAATTAAGCAGGGCTAAGCTGGTGCTGGCTGAAGGGCGAATGTTTGTAAGTGGAGTGTTTTCCATGACATCAAAACAGTGAATCTGAAATTGGCTCTTTTTGCAGTTTCGTTTCCGAATGTGGGCTGTATGGAGTGTCTATGGTGAGCGAACCTTGGACTCCTTGTGCGTGGCCATCCTGAGGAAGACCATGAAGACGGAGCGATGAAGGCTGCGCTGCATTTCTGCCACGGCCGGAGAGGAAGAGAGGCTGGCAGAGTCTATACCACGTGGAGCGTTCCTCAGATACGAGTCCAGACACTTCTGTAGAGACTCATCAAACACCACCTGATTAAGGAGAGAGAGAGAGAGAGAGAGACAGAGAGAGAGGGAGGAAGAGAGGGGAGAGAAAGAGAGAGAGAGAGATAGAGGAGAAACAGAGAGAGAGAAAAAAGAAAAAGATAGAGATAGAGGAGCGAGAAAGAGATAGAGAAAGAGGGAGATAGAGAAAGAGAGGGGGGGAGAGCGAGAGAGAGAGAGAGAGGGGAGAGAGAAAGAGGAGAGAGAAAGAGAGAGAGGAGAGATAAAGAGAAAGAGATAGAGGAGAAAGAGAGAAAAAGATAGAGATAGAGGGGAGAGAGAGAGAGAGAGAGGGGAGAAAAAGAGACAGGAGAGAGAGAAAGAGAAAAAGATAGAAAGAGAGACAGAGAGATAGAGATAGACGAGCGAGAAAGAGAGACAGAAAGAGATAGAGAAAGAGGGAGATAGAGAAAGAGAGGGAAAAGAGGAAGAGAGAGCGAGAGAGAGAAGAAAGAGGGAAAGGAGAGAGAAAGAGAGAGAGAGAGGGAGAGGAGAAAGGGAGAGAGGGAGAGAGAGAGGAGAGAAAGCGAGAGAGAAAGAGAGGGAGAGGAGAGAGAAAGAGAGAGAGAGAGATAGAGAGATAGAGAGAGAGAGGAAGAGAGAGAGAGAGGAAGAGAGAGAGAGAGGAAGAGAGAGAGAGATAGAGAGAGAGGAAGAGAGAGAGAGAAAGGATGCAGATGTGTCATGCAAAGCTCTCTAGTGCACTCGCTAAACTGCACTATGAAACCAAAACTAACCGGATCAGATGAATGTAAACAAAAACCTGACCCTTGGTTCAGACTTTCAGGTGCGAAAACACCCTAAAAGTCTGTCGACTCCAGAGTTTCCTCTGAAATGAAGGTGGTAATAGTGAGTCTGTGCTGCAGTAACAGCCTCGACTCTTCTGGGAAGGCTTTACACTAGATGTTGAAACATTGCTGTGAGGATTTGATTGAGCATTAGTGAGGTCAGGTACTGATGTTGGATGGTCAGTTCTGGATCACTAACTCATCCCAAAGGTACTGGATGGAGCTCCATCACTCCAGAGAACCCAGTTCGACTGCTCCACAGCCCAATGCTGGGGGGCTTTATACCCCCCTAGCCCACGCTTGGCATTGGACATGGTGACCTTAGGCTCATGTGTAGCTGATCCAGAGTGTCCCATTCTACTGGTCAGTGCTTTTCTTAAAGATTATATAAGCTGTATCAGCAATGGGTGACTTAAAGATACTGAATTCACTCATTTTAAGGAACGTCTGGATACCTTTGTACACACAGCCTGTGGGCGGAGCTTGGCCTGATAGTTCAGGTACTGTTCTTAACCTGTTACAGTGCATTGAGGAGTCTTTCTGAAAGCTATCTGGTTTTCTAACCTGGCACCAGAACTTGTCATGAGGTAACGCCAGCAGCCACTCCAGGTCCTCCGAAATGAACTGGGCCTGCTCCAGGAATTCCTCTACCTGTGCAGGTGAGCCGTCCTCAGGTGGCGGTTGGTAGGGCAGGAAACCCCTGTCCTCTTTACGCTCCGGGTGCTGAGGAGATACAACAATGTCATAACTTAAGTATATCCACAAGCCTCATAAAGGTGTGGAAACAAAGGCTTAGGACTCGGCAATACAACGATGTGTTACTGTTATCGTGATAAATTCCACCACGATACTCTTTTCAGGGTACATGATGGGTATGATCAGTACTTCCAAAACTGCAAGGACCATAAAAACGGCAGATTTAGACCAATTACAGTGTTCAGTAACTGTATAAACTGCACTGTAACAAGTATCTGATAGCAGCCCAAAATTCAATAGTCGTTACAGTCATTTACATATATAGGATATAAAGTACAACACAGTGCAGTGAGTGCAAAGACATGGTGAAAGTGGCGGTGAGGAGGTCAGCAGGGTCACAGCCTCAGGGAAGAAGCTCTTCCTGAGCCTGCAGGTGTGGGAGTGGAGGCTCCTGTAACGCCTGCCACACGGGAGGAGGATAAAAAGTCCGTGGTTAGGATGAGAAACGTCCCTGATGATGTTCCTCGCTCTGCCCAAGCAGCGCTTATGGAAAATGTTCTCAGTGGAGGGTAACTGGGCACCTGTGATGCGCAGGGCAGTTTTCACCACCCGCTGGAGCGCTTTGCGGTCAAATGCTGAGCAGCTGCTGTACCACACCGAAACGCAGGTTGTGAGTATGCTCTCAATGGTACAGAGGTTCACCAGTATTCCGGTGGTATATTACGTATCGTGAAAATGTCTTCGAGTATCGTGTTTGCAATATCGCTCCCAGCCTTGGGTACAGTATCAAGGCTATTCTCTACTGTGGTGTGCATCAGTATAAAAGTGTTCACATGTACAGTTTCACAGTATAAAATGTGTGCAAAGGTTCCTCTTACAGTGCTCTGTTTAAGCAATACTGATTACACAGTAAAGACTGCAAGATGTCATCCAAGAAATATTTGGTGAGCCTCTTCACTAGGTGGAGCGCACAAATTACGAGGTCATCTTATTTTATTTATTTATATTTTTACTCAAATGTTTGATTTTTCTCCTGAAGCTTCTAAAATGCTTTGTTTTTACCAACAATTAATAAAAACAATGCACTCATAGTCTGTATAGTACATCATGAACGTGTCTTCAAGCACTGTGATGTTACAGTTTGGCCATTTTCGCCCTTACAGCCGCTATTCTGACCCACAGTCCAGCGTAAAGCTGAACACAACAGTCACTGTATGTTTTTTTTTCTCCAAAATACTGTATTAAATTGGTCTTACCAGAGCTGGAAGGGTCCGCTCTCTACCCTGCGGACCCTCCGTCACCTGCTGCTCGTCTAGGGGAACTCTGGCGCAGGCCATCTCCTTCTGAAACAGAAGAACATGGAGATGAACTCTATTAGAAGATGGACAGACACATAAGCACAGTTCTAAATTTCTCCATAGGTCAGTTGTTGAGATATAAACTGCGAACCATTTCACACCAAACCACTCTGAATCACTCTGTTTACACCTCAGACACTCTGAATTATGCATAAACTTTGAAAAACCGATGGAGTTCCCCTCTAAATCTATTAGATAACGCTAACTAACCCATCATTTACATCCACTGTGGGTGGGTTTACAGGTGCACCCAGATGGGCCAGCAAAGCACATATGGAAACCCAGAACGATGACAATCGTAATATCAGCCGCATCATAGTGTAAAATATAATACTAATCGAAACTGAAACGAATCAGCCTTTTAATGAAGAAACTTGGTGATGATGACGGAGTGATCTGACATCTGACAACTGCGAGCAATAAAGTTTCTCGATCAAAAACTGTAGCTGAGCTTAGGTTAGCATCGGCAGCACTGAAAATACATCATTATTCTAGAAAAACATCACATCTTAACCAGTAAACGAGTTTAATCGGCTGTTTATAACCCCAAATCTGAGTCCTACTGAAAGCACGACTGAGATAAACGCTCATCAGAAGCCTGTTAGCGCAGTTAGCTTAGCTTAGCTTAGCTTAGCTTAGCTAACTCCACGATTGAAACTGCAGGGACTCAGTTAGCCGGCCGGCTAGCTTGGTCGCTAAAGTGAGGTGACAGGATTAAGAACGCTTTCTAAACTGTCATAAAGCGTTCATAAGCTGTCAGTCTTACACTTCAGCCATTCAAGAGGACTGTAACTGTATAACATACCTCATTAAGACTGTTTGCGCTCCGGATTAGTTGTGTGAGTCTTTGATTCTGAAGCCATGAGCCGAATCAGTGCTACAAGGGAGCAGACCGAGTGCACCACTGCACCTAGTGCACTTCATGGACGGGGCCCAGGGAGTGGTGGGCGGGGCGAAGGCGGAGAGGCTGCGTTCCGATTGGCGCAACATTATCAGCACCTCCTTGTTTCTACGCTCATTGTCCGTTTTAATCAGCTCCACTTACTATATAGGTGCACTTTGTAGTTCTACAGTTACAGACTGTAGTCAGGACCCCCATGGACCCTCACAGAGCAGGTACTATTTGGGTGGCGAGTCATTCTCAGCACTGCAGTAACACTGACGTGGTGGTGGTGTGTTAGTGTATGTTGCGCTGGTCTGACTGGATCAGAGTTTCTGAACACCTCAGTGTCACTGCTGGACTGAGAATAGTCCACCAACCAAAAATATCCAGCCAACAGCGTCCTGTGGGCAGCGTCCTTGACCACTGATGAAGGACTGGAGGGTGACCAGCACAAACTGTGCAGCAGCAGATGAGCTATCGTCTCTGACTTTACATCTACAGGGTGGACCGACAAGGTAGGAGTGTCTAATAGATTGGACAGTGAGTGGACAAACTCCAGCAGCACTGCTGTGTCTGATCCACTCGTACCAGCGCAACACACCACCACCACGTCAGTGTTACTGCAGTGCTGAGGATGATCCACCACCCAAATAGTGCCTGCTCTGTGAGGGTCCATGGGGGTCCTGCCCACTGAAGAACAGGGTAAAAGGGGGCTAACAAAGTATCAGAGAAACAGATGGACTACAGTCTGTAACTGTAGAACTACAGAGTGCACCTATATAGTAAGTGGAGCTGATAAAATGGACAATGACTGTAGAAACAAGGAGGTGGTCTTAATGTTAGGCCTGATCAGTGTATATTATGAAGGAATCGGAATTGGTTTATAGTTTAAAACAGAAAGAATTGTCTTATATTTAATCTTGTTTTATCTTGTACACGTACTTTCTAATAACAGCAATCTGTGACTTTCAAACCAAAAGCTGAATTTGCACATTTTACCACTTAAAATTATTTTTTTCCCCACTGAACCAAAGTATTCAAGTTTCAAGAGTTCGTCATATGCACAGGGAAACAGACGGTTACACTGTACAGTGAAATTCTTATTATTACACCAGTTATTATACAAGCACTATATATATAATAAACATTAAAAAAGCACAAAATATTAAAGAAAAAGAAGAATATATGTAAATATAAACTAAGAAAATAGCAGAATAAGTGCAAATCTATTTTATTGTTTGAACAAACATTTTTTTAATTCTTTGCATCTTCAGAATTAAAAAATTATATATATAAAAGCGGGCACCAGGGGGCGCCCTGAGTCCACAATATTGAATTGACGAGCTTTGCTTTGTTTTTTTTCTGTGCGTTTTTATATATTTGCATTTTTATAGGTTAGTATTTTTGCATACACTTCAGCTAAAACACTGCCAACTTGGCTCACAATTCACGAATGCATTTCTGTAAATAAATAACGAGCAAATACATAATAAAAGTCCCAAGAAAGCCAAGAAAACTCAGACAGTACAGAGATTTAATCCGTGCATCTATGATGTGTTTCCATATTCACTTCTAATGTGTCGGCCAGCCTGGTCTGTAGGACCGGGGTGATCTTCATCCTCCTCCTCCTCATTGAGGCCCCGTCAGCTTGTGGGCGTGGCCTGTGACCACTGGGCGTGGTCTAACGGTGCTGCAGCGCTCTGAGGGCTGGACTGAGTTGGACCGTGCTGGAGTGTATCGGCGTGTGTCGGCGTGTTTCCCTGTGGATCTCCGTATCTTCGCTGGATTTCTGGGTTTTGTAGGATCCTGGCTGCTGTTTAGAAGGACCTGGAGGAATGTGGAGTTTACAGAATGCCCAGCAGCGTCGGAAACACATTTAAACCCACCAAATTCATCCCGGTGTCCACCGCTGCCTCTCTGCTCGTAGGATCCTCCACTCTGTTCTTCGCCTTTACGTGAGTTTGGAGGAGCTTTTTTTACCCTCTGCCGGGCTGGAGGAGGAGTGGGGCTGCGCTGCCTTACCCTCCTTATCCTTCCACTGCACTGTTTATTCACGAACCGCGCTCATCTGCGCTGCACTGCATGCGTTACCTTAACCTGCATTGATCTACATGAGAAAGGGCAACTGCACCCGTGTTTCAGAATTCCTCCATAAGTCAGTGGCTGAGATGTAAACAGAGTGACTCAGAGCGGTTTGGTGTGAAATGGTTCAGATGTCTTTACAGTGGTGGTGATGGGAACCAGGAGTCGCCATGACTACAACACAAATATAGACATTTTATTTACTATCCAGAACCACCAGTGAACCTACACGAGTCTTCTGAGTTTATATGGAATCACCCTTTCATGTAGTAACTTTCTGTGAGGGAGCTTTTAGAGGTGGACGTCTGGTTCCTATCACCACCACTGTGAACAGTTCTGACTCAGTAAGTTTATCTAGAACAGAGCGTTTCACACCAAACCACTCTGAATGACTCTGTTTACATCTGAACCATTTAATTAGGGATAAATTTTGAAAAATTGGTGGTGTTCCCCTTTACTCTACACTGCCTTATTACCTTGCAGTGCATCTTATAAACTACACAGCTTACATTAGCCTAGACTGCTGTATTAAACTACATTAGCCTAGACTGCTGTATTAAACTACATTAGCCTGCACTGCTGTATTAAACTACATTAGCCTGTACTGCTGTATTAAACTACATTAGCCTGCACTGCTGTATTAAACTACATTAGCCTGTACTGCTGTATTAAACTACATTAGCCTGCGCTGCTGTATTAAACTACATTAGCCTAGACTGCTGTATTAAACTACATTAGCCTGTACTGCTGTATTAAACTACATTAGCCTGTACTGCTGTATTAAACAACATTAGCCTGCACTGCTGTATTAAACTACATTAGCCTGTACTGCTGTATTAAACAACATTAGCCTGCACTGCTGTATTAAACTACATTAGCCTGCACTGCTGTATTAAACTACATTAGCCTAGACTGCTGTATTAAACTACATTAGCCTGCGCTGCTGTATTAAACTACATTAGCCTACGCTGCTGTATTAAACTACATTAGCCTAGACTGCTGTATTAAACAACATTAGCCTGCGCTGCTGTATTAAACTACATTAGCCTGCGCTGCTGTATTAAACTACATTAGCCTGCACTGCTGTATTAAACTACATTAGCCTGCACTGCTGTATTAAACTACATTAGCCTAGACTGCTGTATTAAACTACATTAGCCTGCACTGCTGTATTAAACTACATTAGCCTGCACTGCTGTATTAAACTACATTAGCCTAGACTGCTGTATTAAACTACATTAGCCTAGACTGCTGTATTAAACTACATTAGCCTGTACTGCTGTATTAAACAACATTAGCCTGCACTGCTGTATTAAACTACATTAGCCTGCACTGCTGTATTAAACTACATTAGCCTAGACTGCTGTATTAAACTACATTAGCCTGCGCTGCTGTATTAAACTACATTAGCCTACGCTGCTGTATTAAACTACATTAGCCTAGACTGCTGTATTAAACAACATTAGCCTGCGCTGCTGTATTAAACTACATTAGCCTGCACTGCTGTATTAAACTACATTAGCCTGCACTGCTGTATTAAACTACATTAGCCTGCACTGCTGTATTAAACTACATTAGCCTAGACTGCTGTATTAAACTACATTAGCCTGCACTGCTGTATTAAACTACATTAGCCTGCACTGCTGTATTAAACTACATTAGCCTAGACTGCTGTATTAAACTACATTAGCCTAGACTGCTGTATTAAACTACATTAGCCTGCGCTGCTGTATTAAACTACATTAGCCTGCGCTGCTGTATTAAACTACATTAGCCTAGACTGCTGTATTAAACTACATTAGCCTGCACTGCTGTATTAAACTACATTAGCCTGCACTGCTGTATTAAACTACATTAGCCTAGACTGCTGTATTAAACTACATTAGCCTAGACTGCTGTATTAAACTACATTAGCCTGCGCTGCTGTATTAAACTACATTAGCCTAGACTGCTGTATTAAACTACATTAGCCTGCGCTGCTGTATTAAACTACATTAGCCTAGACTGCTGTATTAAACTACATTAGCCTAGACTGCTGTATTAAACTACATTAGCCTGCGCTGCTGTATTAAACTACATTAGCCTAGACTGCTGTATTAAACTACATTAGCCTAGACTGCTGTATTAAACTACATTAGCCTAGACTGCTGTATTAAACTACATTAGCCTGCACTGCTGTATTAAACTACATTAGCCTGCACTGCTGTATTAAACTACATTAGCCTGCACTGCTGTATTAAACTACATTAGCCTGCACTGCTGTATTAAACTACATTAGCCTAGACTGCTGTATTAAACTACATTAGCCTAGACTGCTGTATTAAACTACATTAGCCTAGACTGCTGTATTAAACTACATTAGCCTGCGCTGCTGTATTAAACTACATTAGCCTAGACTGCTGTATTAAACTACATTAGCCTAGACTGCTGTATTAAACTACATTAGCCTGCACTGCTGTATTAAACTACATTAGCCTAGACTGCTGTATTAAACTACATTAGCCTGCACTGCTGTATTAAACTACATTAGCCTGCACTGCTGTATTAATTGCACTACTTGCATTAATTTACACTCAGTTCATTAATCTGCACAGTTGTGTTGAGTCGCTCTGCGTCTGTCTGCACTGTTAGCTCTCCGCTGTGTCTCTGATCACAGCCTCCTGCCTGTTTAGCCCTCTTCACTCTTATAGCCTGTCAGGGTGCTTTTCCCCTTCTCACCATCTTCTCACCATCTTCTAACCATCTTCTCACCATCCTCTCACCATCCTCTCACCATCTTCTCACCATCTTCTGGACCGTCTGCCTGCTCACTGCAGTCGTTCATCACTGCTGAAATAGTCCAGACGCTATAAATGTGGTTCATGTTTTCAGTTTCAGTGCTGTGTCGAGTGTTTATGAGTGGCTGTTTATCCTGGTCAATAAAGGAGCTGAGTAAATGACTTTTATTTTGGTCTGCTGTTTGTTTTAGTCGGTTTAAAGGGCCCATATCCTACACTTTTCGTTTGTATTTAAATCCCCCCCATATCCAAATCAGTCATAATTCATTTTTACTTGATTCTTTATGCCTTAAACAGTTTGTTTAACCTCTTATTCTCCAGGGTAGATTTTGGTTTGTCCATCTGAATTTGACCAAATCGTGAGGCAAATTATTTAGTAACTGCATGAAATAAATGTAAATTTTTTATTTATTTATTTATTTTTGTGAAAGTTCCCCTCAAATTAACCGAACATGTGTTTTATAATACACATATTGCTATATGCTTACAATTTACTGCTGAAAGCCAAAAATCTCAGACGCTCTTTGTATTATTTTATAAAAGTAATGTTTACAGAGCAGATCACTGACGAGACGCCATCTGTTTATAGTTTATAGCCCAGATTTGTGGAAAAATGGGTCGACTTTCAGTAGAAAAAAAAACTGTGAGTTCAGCTTCTTTTATTATAAGGGTTTAAAATGACATCACCATCTATTTGACTGGAAAGAAGACAGTTACAGCTCTCATACGACCCCCACCTTTAGAATGTAGCTTATGAAATATGAAAGTTATGTAGAATATGACGAAGTGCGTTTTGGAACCACTGGTGGTCCCAAGGAGTTGAAAAGATTAAAAAATTTTGACTGTGCCTTTAAGACTGATATATGCAAATTAGCTCTTTTCTGATTGGCTGACCTTTATTGTGCCTCTTTGACCAGGCAGTCTGAGCTGAAACACTCCGTATAACTTCAGCGTGAGGAGGCGGGGCTAAACCGCTGTGGGCTGAATAGGCGGATGTATGTAAAAGGTTTTTGTGGTATCAATAAAACAGTATGGACTGTTTGGACTGGGGAGCGAACCTTTACCATGTTTACACACTAAACCAAAGGTTTTTATTTAAAAAAATCAGGGAAATTCAGTTTTTTCTAAGATATGGGCCCTTTAAAGCAGGACTTGCACAGATCAGGTTGTGTTTAGGTCAGATTTGACCAGCTTTTGGTCTTGCTGTGGTTCTTGTTTGGTGATATTTGGGTGTGACGCGTCTACAGCACTGACTCCATACAAGGGTGTGTTTGTGTGATGACGTGTGGGCCTGTGGACTGGGTTTTGGGCTTTAGGTACGTTTTGGTTTCAGTTTTGAGGCGTAAATGTGTTGAAACTGCATTCGTTGCAGGTCATACATTCTATTTATGTGCTGAGTTTATTGGCTATATTGGTTTCATTATGTAATCATAGTGTCTTAACTGAGGAAATTTACTGCAGTTATATTTGAAATGATGAAACCTTTGGATTTGCATGGTTACGCAGTTCTTTTGTGGTTTCCTCAGCTATAAATGGGTTCTGTGGACATGAAACAGCTTCACTTGTGTGGTTTCTTGCTTCGTTTGTTTTATTAGCTTGTGTTAATGGGACTTTTACAACTTTACAGCCTTCACTGCCGAGTGAAGATGAGATTTTATGGCTCGTATTTTCTTACATCGATTGTTTTCTTGATTGTATTGTAATTATTGTGATTTGTAGATATATAACGCGTCTTTCTGTGGTGTTCTTTGCTCTCTGGTACATATAGGAGCTACACTGAGTATAACGGTATAAAATACGCACGTAAGAGTGAATAATATGCAGTGAATGTATGTAATAAGGTACAACGCACAGCACTGTATACACTTATTGAGGACGAGCAGGTTTTAGTTTTCAGTTTTAGAGTTATGGTGCAGATTGTGGTCCATGACACCAAACATGGCCACATGGGTTCATTTTGATGGAAGACTAAAGTAAAATAAGAATGTGGTGCATTCAAATGGTATGAAATGACAAATTATGCTTAAAGGGCAATACCACAGATTTTATCTTTTTTTTTTTTTCGCTCATGGTTTGGACACTTTTTCACTTCCCCT